TGAAAATAGTATCGGCCTACTTATCTATGATGGATGATTCAATCCACTGAGAGACCACTAACAACACATCACAGCAACAACTACACACAAGCAAGATGCCTTCAGTGAAGTGTCCAATCCCAGACTGTGACTTTGAAACAGATGACTTAGATGCTGCAATCCTTGCTGCACATTTGACTACCCATGGGCTAGTGCACACAGCAGCCTCGACTTCTGCAAGCTGTAATAAAGTGGAAAAAGTCAAACGGCCCACTATTACATCCGCTGGCACGAGTGAAGATTGGTCATACTTCCTCTCACGATGGAAAGACTACGTAGAAGCCACTAAAATAAAGGAAAAGGAACTTGTTATACAGCTTCTTGAGTGTAGCGATGAGAATCTACGGAGAGACCTCACAAGATCAGCTGGTGGCGCGCTGACGGATAAGTCTCAAGAAGATGTATTAACAGCCATCAGGATCCTAGCTGTGCGTGAAGAGAATTGGTAGCTCGGGTAGCACTGAACAACATGACACAAGACCGTGAAGAAACTGTGCATTTTGGAGTCGACTAACAAGCAGGTGTGTGCAAGTTTTTAATACCATGCCCCAGCTGCGACAACGAAGTCAACTATACTGACGCAATCTTACGTGATGTGCTTATTCGTGGACTCAACGACTCTGAGATTCAACTTGAAAAAGAAATCAAAACATGACACTTGAACAAACATTTCAATTCACAGAATAACATCTAAACTACTTGTTTCTCAAGGAGCAGAGCATAGCAGTTCATATCGCCGCAATAAGAGTGCCGCTCGTATAGTGACTAAGAAAACTGAAAAACAAGAGACACTGTGCACCTATTGTGGAAATAAAGGTCATGGTGCCAAAGCAACGCCACAAACTCGCAAAAAAGAGTCATGACAATAACTATGGCATAAATGTTGTTCAATTTGATCATCATCTTTACAATCAGCTATCAGACACTTGGATTCGCCAGTCGTCACAATCTCATCCTTTTATGCATGTGACTGCTCGTGTTGACCCTAAAGACTATGACCACTTCGGCATTGACCCCAAGGTCATACCGAAACCAAAGACAGCTACCGTCACCGCCATGGCTGACACAGGTTGCCAAAGCTGCCTAGCCGGCATTAAGGTGCTACATCGGCTTGGCACGAGAGATGATCCCAGTGACTATGAAGATGCATGCTGCTAACAACGCCAGCATTCCTCTCACGATGGAAAGGACTGAAACTTAGAAACCACAAATTGTGTACGTTAAATAACTCTGGAAAAGTGTTTCTTAACTTGCATCACTTGGCATGATAACAGCTTTCTTTGGTGTAGCACGTAACATCAACAACGAAGAGACCATCACAAGATCAGCTGGTACACCACGGTTCACAATTGCATCTTCTGTGGATTCTACAACCACATTACGTATAGACAGTGACGACTGCAAGTGTCCTAAACGCGAAACACCACTGCCTGCACCATCGGTTCTGCCGTTCCCAGCAACTGAAACGAACCGGGAGAAACTGCAACAGTACTTACTAGACTGGTACAAATCCAGCACCTTCAATACATGTCAGCACCAACCACTTCCGCACATGTCAGGCCAACCGATGCGGCTCATGGTGGACCCTGACGCCACACCTGTTGCCCATCATACACCAGTCCCAGTACCATTACACTGGCATGATGAAGTGAAGGCAGGCTTAGATCAAGATGTTCGACTCGGTGTTATTGAGCCTGTTCCGGTCGGGGAACCAGTTACATGGTGTCATCGTATGGTCGTCTGTGCAAAGAAGAATGGCAAACCGCGACGGACAGTAGACTTTCAGGCACTAAATTTTCATGCAGTGAGGGAAACCCACCACACACAATCCCCATTTCATCAAGCTCGCTCTGTTCCACGTCACACTAAGAAGACTGTCTTCGATGCCTGGAATGGGTACCATAGTGTGCCTATTCGTGAAAAGGACAAGCACTTGACCACCTTCATCACACCATGGGGCAGATACAGATATAAGACAGCGCCTCAAGGACACATAGCCTCCGGAGATGGATATGCACGCCGCTTTGACGAAATTGTATCTGACATTCCTGACAAAACAAAGTGTATAGATGATGCTCTTCTTTGGTCGGACAGTATCCAGCAAAGTTTCTTTCAATCGTGCAATTGATGCTTTAGAAAAAGCGAGATACTTTGTTCTCGGATGTGACAAGCTAATCATCGCTGTGGATCACAAGCCCTTAATCAAACTTTTTGGTGACAGATCACTAGAAGATATTCCTAATTCTGGACTTCCCTTAACCTAAGAGAAAACTGATATGTTACAAATTCACAATGTTACACGTGCCCGGCGCCAAATATCGAGCTGCTCATACCGTTTCTCCATTTTGCTGGGAAACCTGATAGCATGGTTTTTTTCGATGATAAAAGCTTCTGTATCAGTGAAATAGAACACGGCGTCCAGATATTTGACCAAACACATAATCATGAAATGCCACAGATGATACAAAGAAATCCCATTGAAAATTGGCTTTTTTCAAAAACATTGCAATTGCTCATCAACTGTGCCATTCTGTGTATAACCTTGGAAAATAACTCTTGTTGGGACAACAAGCGCCACCGAGTACATGTTCCAGCTCGTACAGATGATTGCGGTTGCATGCTTTAGAAAAAGCGAGATACTTTGTTCCCGGATGAAAGCATCATCGCTGTAGATCACAAGCCCTCTCAAACTTTTTGGTGACAGATCACTAGATATATAATTCAGAATAGTGAACCACCTTCATTGAGAACAGATGTGCTGACAATGTTACACGTGCCCGCCCACCAAGGCACTTCATCTCATCACCCAGTCAAACCTGATAGCATGGTTTTAATCGATGATGTGTTCTGTTCCTGCAACAAGAATGAGGCGCCACATCACCAAACACATAATCATGAAATCGCAGATGATACACTGGAAATCCCATTGAAAAGTGCCCCATCCCTACCGACAGCATTGTCATCAGTCACCTCACTTCAGTGTATAACCTTGGATATAAGGACTCCATTTGTCAGTGTGTTTGAAAGTGGCATCCCAGACTTTTTCCAGTTCCGTACAAACTATCGCGGAGTCATCATATATAAGGACAGAATAGTGATACCACCTTCATTGAGAACAGACGTGCTGAAAGGCTACACTCAGCCCACCAAGGCACTTCATCCATGATGTCAAGAGCAGAAACATCTGTGTTGATTGGCCCGGCATACGCACACATCACATTTGGAATACCCATGAACCATCTTCTGAAATGCCCCATCCCAACCCAGCGCCAACCAGAGATTTCCAAAAACATGGGGCGTGCACCCCTTTCTATCCTTTTCAGTGTGTTTGTAGAGCAGAAGTTTTTTTGGCGTGAAGACTGTGAAGCGCATGATCACAAACAACACTGGTCCAATGGTGAATGGTGAAAAACCGGAACTGTTATAGAGGTTCACCAATATGACCAATACGTCGTACGTATCGACGGGTCGGGCAGAATCACGCTTCGCAATCGAAAGTTTCTGCGCAAGTATACACCTGTGTATTCTCCCCCTGAAAAGCAATCCATAGAGCAGGACTTGAAACATTACTTCAAAAGGGACATTCCAAACTCTACACCACCGACGAGCGGAACTCCAGTGGTCCCGGCAAATCCTTTGAAGCCCAGTCTGGACATCAATCAAGGGATAAGTAAGCGTGCACCAGCTTCACAAGATCTGAGTAACAGTCCACCTCCTGTGCAGGATAGGACGTCTCATACAGTCCAATCTAAACCGCAAACACCCTTGGAATTGGACGGATCCCCACAAATGGTTAATCCGTCTCCCTCTCCTGCATCGCCCAAGCTAACCCGTCACCACATCCTCCAACTACCTCACCTGCAACACCAGTCACACCCAGGAGGATCGTGACAAACAGACCAGAGCAACTATCCGTTGACCTTACCCCAAGACGTCCTAATCGACAACGATAGAGCCAAAATGGCTTAGTGATTATGAGCATTAAATAGGGCAGAATAATCCCCGAACTGGAGGGTAGTCTGCCCAATGACAGTTCTACTTTTTTAATTAATGTACAAATAGTACATTATCATTTTAATTTCATTTTCTTTGTATGTTACATTTACTGTTAATTGATACATAATTTGATCTCACAATGTAATAACAGTGTTGAGGCATATCACATTTTTAGTGACAATGAACAGTAATAGACTTATTCCATCCATATTTCCCACACAAGGACAAAAACATTAAATCAGTCATTCAAAATACTTATAAATGACTCGGGGAGGGATAGAGGATTATGTATTTACTTGTTAGTCTATTACTTATGTCTTACCAACAGATAGTTAATTTTATTTACAATGTTACTTTTTGTATGTTTCAGACCTCCATCATTTTGGATAATAAAGTTATCTGAAAATAGTATCGGCCTACTTATCTATATTTAAAGTCTTTATACGGTTGAACCGTTTTCAGATACTTTTTGTCATTTTTCATGGCTACTATCAATGCAAGTCGATCTCGTCACAAGTCACTTGTTCCAATCCCTTGGATCATTTAAGTCCCAAGTTGGTGCTCTTTTGAAATGGCTGCCAGGTAGCCATCTTTGATTTTGATTATGAATTTTTATTATTGCTATTTCTAGAGAGGGACTGACTGGAGGATTAGTCTAAAAGTGCATATATACAGCAGGACCCCTCTGCCCGTAGTCCAAGAGAAAAAATCAGACTTGTAAAGAACAAATGAAGATAAAATACTTGTGAACATGAACAACCCTTTTGGGTATCTTGTTTGTATACTTCTCACATGATCTTTATGGAAAGCCAAGAGGACGACATTCTAACGGTTCCAATATTTTACCGACATTACTTAATCTTTGGCATTTCTTCTGTTGTCAGCACTTCAATCCGTTTCACAAGTTCCATTTAGAGTCTGACATAAATATCTTAAAAAAGAAAACAAAAAGAATTCTGCACTGTAGAGAATATATATTTCTCAAATTCTGATTGTACATTTACGTTCTATATAATTAATGCTAATCATGATCTTTACTACAAAGTAAAACAACGTAATGAAGTTTATCACACCGACAACCCTGTTTATACCGCTGCTGAGCAACCACCGTGTTTCATTATTTAATACACCGATCGTAATAATAAATCTAATTCCACTACGAAAAGTTTACCATACTTATCCAAAGCTTTTATCTTGTAAATAGTAAACCTTATTAAAACGCCTAGGCGTAAAGTCAACTTCGTAATGGGAAGTAGGAAACATATCATAAAAACGAAACGTATTACCAAGCTCCGGAAAAAGTGACGTCACAAAAGGTGTTCATAAACTTTTAACAGTTTTAGACAATATCATTTAGCTTATGGAATAGAGAAATATTTTGCATTGATTCTGATTAGAAATATTAGATCTTTAAAAATGTGTCATAATATTGTCACGTCAAAGAGTCACAAACTGTGTCACTTTAAAATATATTGACAATTAGGTCATCATGCACAATGGTATGAATTAAAAATCAAATTACTATTTCATGTATCTTACAAATTTTGAATGCCACAGTAACTAGGAGTCAGTCTAAACGATGCAACACAAGTGATGATTAAAATTTGGAGATAACATGTTCTGAAAATGCTAGAATCCGTGGATAAGACTCTCTGTTTCCATGGTAAGGAAAGAAAGAACGAGACTGCAAAACTCATCCATAGCAGAAAGCCCACCTAGAGCACTGAATCGATGTGTTTAGGAGATGTATTACAGAAACGGGTAGTTTTCAACCCAAAAGGTGACATGTCACATTTATTCATTAAGGAACAAAGAATATCTTCTATACAACAAAACTGCAATTCTAAAGCTTGAAATTATACACGGATACCCAGAACATACCAGACCAATATAGGGAACTGAGGTTTCTATGGAATAAGTGCCTTTCTCTCTCAGTTAAAACAAGAGCACTGACAACAAAACCTTATAACACACTCATGACAACTACATATCAATTTTTCAAATCACATAAAAAAACCACCAATATCTTCCCAAAATTTCAATACAGATCCCTGAGATGTTTGATTTAGGGAGTTCGTTCTCCTTAGAAAACATTTAATTTCTTCCTTTTGAAAAATAAAACCATTCAATATCTATATAAAACAAGAAGCCCACGGACCTTTATGGTCGTCTGACTATAAAAGCATGATTCGTTGGTAACAACAGTCGTCCCAGTGGAAACAATTATTAAATCATAAAAACAGGAATATTTTAGCCCAGTAAAGGCACATTCTTATTTCAGTTTCTTGACATTCCCACCAGTAAAACAAGAGAAGATGTTTAAAACGTGTTTTTTTTAAAAGACAGATCACATGGCAGCCATATTTGTTTTGAACTGATCCAAAAATTAACAGCATATAGTAAGCACCATCTGAGGATCACTTCGACCAAGTTTCAGCTACATCCGACAGGTGAATTACGAGAAGCTGTTAAAAATAGATATTGTTCCCGGGAAACCAGATTGCGCAGTCATGTTACAAAATGACTGCCATGTCTGTCATATTGATCTTTGGAAGAAGGGGAAAAACCTAACTAAAATAAAAAAAAATTAAAAAATATCCCCCAAATTTGAGGACTTTATCCCTTAATATTTTGATTAATTTTCATCTCAACAGCACAAGTCGAAAATGTATTTCTTTGTTCAAGATGGCTACTAATTTTTAGCTCAATTGGCACCAAGGTATTCTCCTAGTCTCTCGTGCATTATTATGGCGAATGTCTTTATGCGAAATATTTCTTGAAAGGAGTTACACATACAAAATAACAATATCATAGAAATCAAATATATTCAATCTTGATTTGTTAAATCTGCGTCACAGAAAAAAATCCTTCGTTGTTAATTTTATCTACTACCAAACCATGCATCGTAATCTACAAACCAGGTAAAATTGCCCAATACTGGTTTTATTCCAAGTATCGGATACTCTGAGGCAGTTTTCTTATCATCTTGAAGTGCCATCAATATGTCATGTTTTTTATTACCGGTCACTAGAGCTAATACTTGTCTCCCCTTATTAAGTAACTGTAATGTCATAGTCATTCTTGATTTTTTTGTTTCCATGGAAATAAGTGATGAGTTTTCATGTGATCTGTTTGGGAAAAGTGAAGCAGTGTGTCCATCAGAGCCTAATCCAAGAACGATTACATCAATCTTTAGATCAGGGATGTAATGTTGGATATCTTCTTCATAAACACGGCTACCTCTATCATCAGGACTGCACACACGACCTGCGACCTCTACTGGCATAGGATGGATGTGTAGGTAAGGAATGGGGATATGTTTGATTAGATTATCAAGCAGTGATTTAAAATTTGATTCATCAAGTTGACGAGAGAAACATCTTTCATCGACTTGCCAAATATGGATAAATTCCCAAGGAACAGGCGGTTGTCTATCAGCTAAAACTTGAAATAATTTTATAGGAGTTTTTCCACCTGAAAACGCAATGTTGACATAATCCCTAACCTTCAAGCTTTCATTAACAGCATTGACTATAACTTCAGCAACAGCATGAACGAGTGAATCCTCTGTAGATTTAACCACTATTGGATGACCAAGGTAGTTAGCAGGTAGAGATGTAAAGTGCTGACCAAAGGTTTCATCCACAATTATATTTTCCTCATCAGAAAATATATATTGCAGACCGTCTGAGGTCAGTTTAAAGTTGAGTGACCGATCCTCATTGCGTTGATACAAACGTGGTGTGATGCTGTGTTGGTCATTCAGTACTGGTGACCAAAGTCGCCACAGACTTAAAAGCCGTTCTTTAGCCACAAAATTCTCCCGCCTCCCAATGAACATATCCTCCACCACTGACACATAAGCAGGTTGGTTATCCTTCGGAACCAGGAAGGTGAAATCATTTAAATTTTGACCATACATTGCAATATCATCCGCAGTTATAGGCAGGTCCTTCAGAGACGAGGGCACAACCGGGTTAAAGAGATCCTTGGAAACCAATATACCTGCTGATGGTAAGTTACCATGACCAATTTGGAAAATGATTTGTTTTTGTCCTTTCCAGTGACTGCCATTATGATGTTGACATCCAGCTATACAGAAATCATTTTCTTTGAAAACTATTCGAATAAAGCTTGAACGTTCATCTAGATATTTTCCAGAAACCAAAAGGAAGGGGACATCACTCCAGCGTCGGTTCCTTATCTCAACACGGGCAGCGCCAAAGGTAGGTGTGAATTTGGACATTGTCACATTATCTTTTTCTGTCTGTGCCTGCATCATATAGTCATCATATTGGCCAGTCAAAAGATACTTCCTGTTTACAGGGCGTATCTGTGACAGCAATCGTAACCTAGATTTATCAATCTGCTGTGTGTTCGTAATTTCCACTGGTAGCTCCATAGCAACAAGAGCAAGTAATTCCATCAAATGGTTTTGCATGACATCCCTAATTATTCCGTATAGAAGATCATAGATAGTCAATTTTACTAATTAAGGAGTGTGATTATCTACTGCGAATGAAGGAGTGTGATTATCTACTGAGAATGAAGGAGTGTGATTATCTATTGGGAATGAAGGAGTGTGATTATCTATTGGGAATTAAGGAGTGTGATTATCTACTGGGAATTAAGGAGTGTGATTATCTATTGGGAATGAAGGAGTGTGATTATCTATTGGGAATTAAGGAGTGTGATTATCTACTGGGAATTAAGGAGTGTGATTATCTACTGGGAATTAAGGAGTGTGATTATCTACTGCGAATGAAGGAGTGTGATTATCTACTGCGAATGAAGGAGTGTGATTATCTACTGAGAATGAAGGAGTGTGATTATCTACTGGAAATTAAGGAGTGTGATTATCTACTGAGAATGAAGGAGTGTGATTATCTACTGCGAATGAAGGAGTGTGATTATCTACTGGGAATGAAGGAGTGTGATTATCTACTGCGAATGAAGGAGTGTGATTATCTACTGCGAATGAAGGAGTGTGATTATCTACTGCGAATGAAGGAGTGTGATTATCTACTGCGAATGAAGGAGTGTGATTATCTACTGGAAATTAAGGAGTGTGATTATCTACTGAGAATGAAGGAGTGTGATTATCTACTGGAAATTAAGGAGTGTGATTATCTACTGAGAATGAAGGAGTGTGATTATCTACTGGGAATGAAGGAGTGTGATTATCTACTGCGAATGAAGGAGTGTGATTATCTACTGCGAATGAAGGAGTGTGATTATCTACTGGGAATTAAGGAGTGTGATTATCTACTTGGAATTAAGGAGTGTGATTATCTACTGGGAATTAAAGAGTGTCATTATCTACTGCGAATGAAGGAGTGTGATTATCTACTGGGAATTAAAGAGTGTGATTATCTACTGGGAATTAAGGAGTGTGATTATCTACTTGGAATTAAGGAGTGTGATTATCTACTGGGAATGAAGGAGTGTGATTATCTACTGGGAATTAAGGAGTGTGATTATCTACTGGGAATGAAGGAGTGTGATTATCTACTGGGAATTAAGGAGTGTGATTATCTACTGGAAATTAAGGAGTGTGATTATCTACTGAGAATGAAGGAGTGTGATTATCTACTGGGAATGAAGGAGTGTGATTATCTACTGGGAATGAAGGAGTGTGATTATCTACTGCGAATGAAGGAGTGTGATTATCTACTGAGAATGAAGGAGTGTGATTATCTATTGGGAATGAAGGAGTGTGATTATCTATTGGGAATTAAGGAGTGTGATTATCTACTGGGAATTAAGGAGTGTGATTATCTACTTGGAATTAAGGAGTGAGATTATCTACTGGGAATGAAGGAGTGTGATTATCTACTGGGAATTAAGGAGTGTGATTATCTACTGGGAATGAAGGAGTGTAATTATCTACTGGGAATTAAGGAGTGTGATTATCTACTGCGAATGAAGGAGTGTGATTATCTACTGAGAATGAAGGAGTGTGATTATCTACTGGGAATGAAGGAGTGTGATTATCTACTGGGAATGAAGGAGTGTGATTATCTACTGAGAATGAAGGAGTGTGATTATCTACTGGGAATTAAGGAGTGTGATTATCTACTGCGAATGAAGGAGTGTGATTATCTACTGCGAATGAAGGAGTGTGATTATCTACTGGAAATGAAGGAGTGTGATTATCTACTGAGAATGAAGGAGTGTGATTATCTACTGCGAATGAAGGAGTGTGATTATCTACTGGGAATGAAGGAGTGTGATTATCTACTGCGAATGAAGGAGTGTGATTATCTACTGCGAATGAAGGAGTGTGATTATCTACTGGAAATTAAGGAGTGTGATTATCTACTGAAGTGAAGGAGTGTGATTATCTATCTATTATCTGGAATGAAGGAAGGAGTGTGATTATCTACTGGAATGAAGGAGTGTGATTATCTACTGGAGAATGTGTGATTATCTACTGGGAATGAAGGAGTGTGATTATCTACTGGGAAATTAAGGAGTGTGATTATCTACTGAGAATGAAGGAGTGTGATTATCTACTGGGAATGAAGGAGTGTGATTATCTACTGGGAATGAAGGAGTGTGATTATCTACTGGAATGAAGGAGTGTGATTATCTACTGAGAATGAAGGAGTGTGATTATCTACTGGGAATGAAGGAGTGTGATTATCTACTGAGAATGAAGGAGTGTGATTATCTACTGGAAATTAAGGAGTGTGATTATCTACTGCGAATGAAGGAGTGTGATTATCTACTGGGAATGAAGGAGTGTGATTATCTACTGGGAATTAAGGAGTGTGATTATCTACTGAGAATGAAGGAGTGTGATTATCTACTGCGAATGAAGGAGTGTGATTATCTACTGAGAATGAAGGAGTGTGATTATCTACTGGGAATGAAGGAGTGTGATTATCTACTGGGAATGAAGGAGTGTGATTATCTACTGGGAATTAAGGAGTCTACTGGGAATGAAGGAGTGTGATTATCTACTGAGAATGAAGGAGTGTGATTATCTACTGGAATGAAGGAGTGTGATTATCTACTGAAATGAAGGAGTGTGATTATCTACTGGGAATGAAGGAGTGTGATTATCTACTGGAATGTGAATCTACTGGAGTGTGATTATCTACTGGAATGAAGGAGTGTGATTATCTACTGGAATGAAGGAGTGTGATTATCTACTGCGAATGAAGGAGTGTGATTATCTACTGGGAATGAAGGAGTGTGATTATCTACTGCGAATGAAGGAGTGTGATTATCTACTGGGAATGAAGGAGTGTGATTATCTACTGGAAATTAAGGAGTGTGATTATCTACTGAGAATGAAGGAGTGTGATTATCTACTGGGAATGAAGGAGTGTGATTATCTACTGGGAATGAAGGAGTGTGATTATCTACTGGGAATGAAGGAGTGTGATTATCTACTGGGAATGATCACGAAGGAGTGTGATTATCTACTGGAGTGTGATTATCTACTGAGAATGAAGGAGTGTGATTATCTACTGGGAATGAAGGAGTGTGATTATCTACTGGGAATGAAGGAGTATGATTATCTACTGGGAATGAAGGAGTGTGATTATCTACTGCGAATGAAGGAGTGTGATTATCTACTGCGAATGAAGGAGTGTGATTATCTACTGCGAATGAAGGAGTGTGATTATCTACTGGGAATGAAGGAGTGTGATTATCTACTGCGAATGAAGGAGTGTGATTATCTACTGGGAATTAAGGAGTGTGATTATCTACTGCAAATGAAGGAGTGTAATTATCTACTGGGAATTAAGGAGTGTGATTATCTACTGGGAATTAAGGAGTGTGATTATCTACTGCAAATGAAGGAGTGTAATTATCTACTGGGAATTAAGGAGTGTGATTATCTACTGCGAATGAAGGAGTGTGATTATCTAATGGGAATTAAGGAGTGTGATTATCTACTTGGAATGACGGAGTGTGATTATCTACCATTATGGTAAAGTGAAGTGACTTAAAAAGCCAAGGTGGATTGAATGTCCAAAAAGTGAAATGCTTCACTTAATCATGGACATGGAAAAGTGATGCTCCCTCCCTCACCCCAGACATCATTTTCATCAATATGTTGACAAGAATACAGTCAACCAAATGGGATCACAATATGACACTACGAGACTTTGTCTCAGGTGACTTAAAAAGCCAAGGTGGATTAATGTCCAAAACTACATGAGAAATACTAGCATTTTCTTTGTCGTCAGATAGTTTGATATCATACTTGACGAGGCAGAACCATTTTGAATGTTTTGCTCTGCAATGTATTCTACAATCTTATGCAATTATCTTTTTATAATCAATTAAACTATTTTTAAATACCAAAAAGGAGAATTTAAAACCCAAATTGTTCACAGAAAAGACTTTATGGAAAACCATCTTTTCAACTTCAAATTTGCTTTGTTTACATTCAAAAGAAAAATTGGCCATTCTCAATGCAATGACCAAAATGCACTGCTCTGATTTGTCAAATGTTGGTGATAATATACATTATAGGTATATAATTAAATTGGTGAATTCTGTATTTCACAGGCCAAAAAAAACTATAAAAAGCAATCATTTTATTTGTTCTATCAACCATGATTGTTTGTAAAAGTTTGGAGATTTCACCAAAAGTTTTTGAACGACAATTATGTGTTTTCATAGAAGTCATGTAATGGACTATTGTTAAATGATTTTAAACTAAATGTGTGCATTTTTTGTGGTTCTATTCATTACGGAAGTAAGTACTCACCTTGATGTGTGTACTACAGTAGGTAATCACCTTGATGTGTGTACTATAGTAGGTACTCACCTTGATATGTGTACTATAGTAGGTACTCACCTTGATATGTGTACTATAGTAGGTACTCACCTTGATGTGTGTACTACAGTAGGTACTCACCTTGATGTGTGTACTATAGTAGGTACTCACCTTGATGTGTGTACTATAGAAGGTACTCACCTTGATGTGTTCTATAGTAGGTACTCACCTTGATGTGTGTACTATAGTAGGTACTCACCTTGATGTGTGTACTACAGTAAGTACTCACCTTGATGTCTGTACTACAGTAGGTACTCACCTTGATGTGTGTACTACAGTAGATGCTCACCATGATGTGTGTACTACAGTAGGTACTCACCTTGATGTGTATACTACAGCAGGTACTCACCTTGATGTGTGTACTACAGTAGGTACTCACCTTGATGTGTGTACTACAGTAGATGCTCACCATGATGTGTGTACTATAGAAGGTACTCTCCTTGATGTGTGTACTACAGCAGGTACTCACCTTGATGTGTGTACTACGGCAGGTACTCACCTTGATGTGTGTACTATAGAAGGTACTCACCTTGATGTGTGTACTATAGTAGGTACTCACCATGATGTGTGTACTACGGCAGGTACTCACCTTGATGTGTGTACTATAGTAGGTACTCACCTTGATGTGTGTACTATAGTAGGTACTCACCTTGATGTGTGTACTATGGCAGGTACTCACCTTGATGTGTGTACTATAGTAGGTACTCACCTTGATGTGTGTACTATGGCAGGTACTCACCTTGATGTGTGTACTACAGTAGGTACTCACCTTGATGTGTGTACTACAGTAGATACTCACCTTGATGTATGCACTGTATTACGTACTCACCTTGGACACCAATGTTTTCTTTCATGACCACTTCTACTCGTGCCACATGTCCACTGGTCAACAGTGGTTCTAGAATATCTTGGTTGGCGTGTCTTAAAACAGAATCAGAGATGGACACTGGTCATATCACTATGAAATGACATGTCTGATGTTGTTCTCTCTAGTATACACAATATAAATCTATAGATGATAAAGTATACAAGATTTCCTCACAGACAAGATCAGAGAATATTGAAGCCAAAATAAATATTTACTGGAAAGATTAAAATTTCAGTTTAATGTCAAACATAGGGTTTTTCCATCAAATTTCAGTTACATCATTTCTTTATTGTTGTATCAGGTTTACATTTCGGCAGTGTACATCTGTCAATCTAAGTTAAAATTGATAAATTTTTCCAATTTGAATTACATAACCGTGTAGATATATTCCTTTTCCACAAATTTTTTGGAAGTCCCTTCTTCTAGATATTCACATGTGCCACATTGTAGATCTTTTTACTTTGAAACTTTGCATAATAATCATGTAGATCTTTTTAAAATGTCATTTACTATTGATTTTCAAATATACTTTTCATAACTTCATCTTCTTTCAGTAAAATGTTCAAGTGATTCACTGTTTGGCTGATATTCCAATTTCTCAAATTATAGGTTGTAATTATTGATAATTCTGGTTGATTTTTATTCTCAAGATAAAAGTGAATTAAATAAATCTTCTGTTTACTGACAATGCCTTTTTATGCCATTGTCTGTTATTAATTCTTGGTAGTGTTGACATGAGATAAGTTAGGATAAGATATACAATTGAAGCTGACTATAAACAACCCTATTCAATGTCAACTTATTGTCAAGATTTGTCTGATGAAGGTGACCATGTAGTCATCAAAACATGACACTCTAATCTTTTACTGGTTGTGTTATAAGAACTTCTATTCTATAAATATGTATCAGTAACATATCTGATGTCAGATCAATAAAGATACAATACAGACAAATATACTGGTATCAGAACCATAAACATCTCTGGTGTGTATTATCTACCCCTGGTGTGTAGTATCTACTCCTGGTGTGTAGTATCTACCCCTGGTGTGTAGTATCTACCCCTGGTGTGTATTATCTACCCCTGGTGTGTAGTATCTACCCCTGGTGTGTATTATCTACCCCTGGCGTGTAGTATCTACCCCTGGCGTGTAGTATCTACCCCTGGTGTGTAGTATCTACCCCTGGTGTGTATTATCTACCCCTGGTGTGTAGTATCTACCCTGGAGTGTATTATCTACCCCTGGTGTGTAGTATCTACCCCTGGTGTGTAGTATTTACCCCTGGTGTGTAGTATTTATCTCTGGTGTGTAGAATCTACCCCAGGTGTGTATTATCTACCCCTGGTGTGTAGTATCTACCCCTGGCATGTATTATCTACCCCTGGTGTGTAGTATCTACCCTGGTGTGTATTATCTACCCCTGGTGTGTAGTATCTACCCCTGGCGTATCTACCCCTGGTGTGTAGTATTATCTACCCCTGGTGTGTAGTATCTGTCCCTGGTGTGTAGTATTTATCTCTGGTGTGTAGTATCTACCCTGGTGTTTATTATCTACCCCTGGTGTGTATTATCTACCCCTGGTGTGTAGTATCTGTCCCTGGTGTGTAGTATTTATCTCTGGTGTGTAGTATCTACCCCTGGCGTGTATTATCTACCCCTGGTGTGTAGTATCTACCCTGGTGTGTATTATATACCCTTGGCGTGTATTATTTACCCCTGGTGTGTAGTATCTACCCTGGTGTGTATTATATACCCCTGGTGTGTATTATCTACCCCTGGTGTGTAGAATTATCTACCCCTGGTGTGTATTATATACCCTTGGCGTGTATTATTTACCCCTGGTGTGTATTATCTACCCCTGGTGTGTATTATATACCCCTGGTGTGTAGTATCTACCCCTGGCTTGTATTATCTACCCCTGGTGTATATTATCTACCCCTGGTGTGTATTATCTACCCCTGGTGTGTAGTATCTACTCCTGGTGTGTATTATTTACCCCTGGTGTGTAGTATTTATCTCTGGTGTGTAGTATTTATCTCTGGTGTGTAGAATCTACCCCAGGTGTGTATTATCTACCCCTGGTGTGTAGTATCTACCCCTGGCATGTATTATCTACCCCTGGTGTGTAGTATCTACCCTGGTGTGTATTATCTACCCCTGGTGTGTAGTATCTACCCCTGGCGTATCTACCCCTGGTGTGTAGTATTATCTACCCCTGGTGTGTAGTATCTGTCCCTGGTGTGTAGTATTTATCTCTGGTGTGTAGTATCTACCCTGGTGTTTATTATCTACCCCTGGTGTGTATTATCTACCCCTGGTGTGTAGTATCTGTCCCTGGTGTGTAGTATTTATCTCTGGTGTGTAGTATCTACCCCTGGCGTGTATTATCTACCCCTGGTGTGTAGTATCTACCCTGGTGTGTATTATATACCCTTGGCGTGTATTATTTACCCCTGGTGTGTAGTATCTACCCTGGTGTGTATTATATACCCCTGGTGTGTATTATCTACCCCTGGTGTGTAGAATTATCTACCCCTGGTGTGTATTATATACCCTTGGCGTGTATTATTTACCCCTGGTGTGTATTATCTACCCCTGGTGTGTATTATATACCCCTGGTGTGGTAGTATCTACCCCTGGCTTGTATTATCTACCCCTGGTGTATATTATCTACCCCTGGTGTGTATTATCTACCCCTGGTGTGTAGTATCTACTCCTGGTGTGTATTATTTACCCCTGGTGTGTAGTATTTATCTCTGGTGTGTAGTATTTATCTCTGTTGTGTAGTATCTACCCCTGGCGTGTATTATCTACCCCTGGTGTGTATTATTTACCCCTGGTGTGTAGTATTTATCTCTGGTGTGTAGTATTTATCTCTGTTGTGTAGTATCTACCCCTGGCGTGTATTATCTACCCCTGGTGTGTATTATTTACCCCTGGTGTGTAGTATTTATCTCTGGTGTGTAGTATTTACCTCTGGTGTGTAGTATCTACCCCTGGTGTGTATTATCTACCCATGGTGTGTAGTATCTACCCCTGGTGTGTAGTATCTACCCTGGTGTGTAGTATTTATCTCTTGTGTGTAGTATTTATCTCTGTTGTGTAGTATCTACCCCTGGCGTGTATTATCTACCCCTGGTGTGTATTATTTACCCCTGGTGTATAGTATTTATCTCTGGTGTGTAGTATTTACCTCTGGTGTGTAGTATCTACCCCTGGCGTGTATTATCTACCCCTGGTGTGTATTATTTACCCCTGGTGTGTAGTATTTATCTCTGGTGTGTAGTATTTACCTCTGGTGTGTAGTATCTACCCCTGGCGTGTATTATTTACCCCTGGTGTGTAGTATTTATCTCTGGTGTGTAGTATTTACCTCTGGTGTGTAGTATCTACCCCTGGTGTGTGGTGTGTAGTATTTATCTCTGGTGTGTAGTATTTACCTCTGGTGTGTAGTATCTACCCCTGGTGTGTATTATCTACCCATGGTGTGTAGTATCTACCCCTGGTGTGTAGTATCTACCCTGGTGTGTAGTATCTACCCCTGGTGTGTATTATCTACCCCTGGTGTGTATTATCTACCCCTGGTGTGTAGTATTTATCTCTGGTGTGTAGTATTTATCTCTGGCGTGTAGTATCTATCCCTGGCGTGTATTATCTACCCCTGGTGTGTAGTATCTACCCTGGTGTGTATTATATACACCTGGCATGTATTATTTACCCCTGGTGTGTAGTATTTATCTCTGGTGTGTAGAATCTACCCCAGGTGTGTATTATCTACCCCTGGTGTGTAGTATCTACCCCTGGCATGTATTATCTACCCCTGGTGTGTAGTATCTACCCTGGTGTGTATTATCTACCCCTGGTGTGTAGTATCTACCCCTGGCGTATCTACCCCTGGTGTGTAGTATTATCTACCCCTGGTGTGTAGTATCTGTCCCTGGTGTGTAGTATTTATCTCTGGTGTGTAGTATCTACCCTGGTGTTTATTATCTACCCCTGGTGTGTATTATCTACCCCTGGTGTGTAGTATCTGTCCCTGGTGTGTAGTATTTATCTCTGGTGTGTAGTATCTACCCCTGGCGTGTATTATCTACCCCTGGTGTGTAGTATCTACCCTGGTGTGTATTATATACCCTTGGCGTGTATTATTTACCCCTGGTGTGTAGTATCTACCCTGGTGTGTATTATATACCCCTGGTGTGTATTATCTACCCCTGGTGTGTATTATATACCCCTGGTGTGTAGTATCTACCCCTGGCTTGTATTATCTACCCCTGGTGTGTAGTATCTACCCTGGTGTGTATTATCTACCCCTGGTGTGTAGTATCTACTCCTGGTGTGTAGTATTTATCTCTGGTGTGTAGTATTTATCTCTGTTGTGTAGTATCTACCCCTGGCGTGTATTATCTACCCCTGGTGTGTATTATTTACCCCTGGTGTGTAGTATTTATCTCTGGTGTGTAGTATTTATCTCTGTTGTGTAGTATCTACCCCTGGCGTGTATTATCTACCCCTGGTGTGTATTATTTACCCCTGGTGTGTAGTATTTATCTCTGGTGTGTAGTATTTACCTCTGGTGTGTAGTATCTACCCCTGGTGTGTATTGTCTACCCATGGTGTGTATTATCTACCCCTGGTGTGTAGTATTTATCTCTGGTGTGTAGTATTTATCTCTGTTGTGTAGTATCTACCCCTGGCGTGTATTATCTACCCTTGGTGTGTATTATTTACCCCTGGTGTGTAGTATTTATCTCTGGTGTGTAGTATTTACCTCTGGTGTGTAGTATCTACCCCTGGTGTGTAGTATCTACCCCTGGTGTGTATTATCTATCCTTGGTGTGTATTACATATTTCTGATGTGTGTTATTAACTACTGGTTCGTACCATTTATCCAATGAAGTGTGTTATGTATGCCGATGTTTACCCAATGTTTACCCAATCTCGTCCTGAAACAATTGAAATAACATTATAATGAACTAAACTTTCAGCTTTAAAATGAAATATGCCATTTCCGTCTTACCTGAATGGAAGTATTTGTTTCACAACAGACTTCCCTAGATAATGGTCGACTCTGTATATCTCTTCTTCCTTGTAGTATTTAGCAATCTGTTCTGCCATCTTTACAGCGGAGTTGTGGTCGCTCCCAAATGGCTTCTCCAGGACAAGCCGATTCCAAGACGTTGATGATCTGCTATAGCAACACTTCCATACCTTTTCTGACATAGACCCATAAGCACTAGGTGGAATAGCCATGTACATAATTCGACCCCTCTTTACACCTTCGTTGCTTCCTTCGATGTCAAGAAGAAGTCCAAGGTTTTCAAAATCTAAGTCAGTCTGAAGAGGGAAATATCTAACAGCTTTTGAGAAACTTATTTTTGCTTTTTCACATTCATCACTACGTGATTTGAAATCGCAATTGACATGTTTTTGTAAAATATTGTCCATTAAACTTGTGCCCTCTTCAAAGTTTGAACGTCCACACCCGAAGAATTTAAACGCGACATTCTCACTGGCATGATTAAAATAGAGCTGAAACATACTTTGCCATAAATACTTCTTGGCCAAATCTCCTGTTGCTCCAATCAGTACAAAATCTGTGTGTGTCCTCTCAACTTCCGAGCAGTGTATAAAAGGGGTACTTATTACAAAGCCTAGGATAAAACAAGAGATGATCCAAACTTCCATTTTGGTATTGGTTGCCAAGGTTACTACAATGTAGATATAAAATATATAACTGCCAATCATCACATTGAGACTGAAAGATATTACATAATAGTAAAAGATTTGTGTAGGTTGAATTTAGTTAGCGATCTGATGAAAGAACCACTATTTTGTCTTTTAATGCTGATTTTGTTCAGAGGAAAAGTGCTATCAGCACATATAGTGAATAGACATTGGTTATAAGATCAATATTTTGCCCACGGTTTTTATATTTTTGGACTATATTTTTCCATAAGGACCTGTGAGCTTTATCTGTTTATGCAAAATTTCAGGAAACTAAAAAATTGTGTTGAACTGTGACAGTGTCCATGGAATTAATTTTGTCCATGCATTTTTCATAGAAAATACCCATTTTTTCCATGGAAATTAGTTTTTTCCATGGAAAATGTAAAGCCGGAATATTGCTTTAATTAAGGACAAACAAATGTAGAGAGGATTGCACCTGGTAAGCAGAACATAAATGTATAGTTTTATGAAACTCTCTTCAGGTCTGTCCAACTTACTAACAATTACATTTCCTGTGATCATACTGTATCCTACCTGTGGTAAGGCAGCTATACACAGCTAAAGATCATCTGTTGGTTTTCTGCATGTGAATACATGTAAAAGCTGTGTCGCTTAACCCACATTCCCTGTATAAAAATGTAAACAAAGCATGGGTTTAATGTAAAGATAACCATCCATCCACATGACTAAATAAAGTGTCCTTAAAGGGGCACAACTCTGCACCTATGTATGGATCTCTGAAACCTAACCTATAACTCATTAAAATCAAGTTTGACCATAGAACACAGAAAGCTCTAAAATAAAAAAATTGTACTTAATTTCTTCATGACAATAAATATCAACCAAATTATCAATGTCACCACATACATTGTAACACAAACACACGAAACCAACATCACAATAAATGTCAACCAAATTATCAATGTCACCACATACATTGTAACACAAACACACGAAACCAACATCACAATAAAAGTACATTGTCATGCAATGCAAAACAGCAAAATGTTTCTGCCATCTAATATCAAACATCAACTTTCGCATGTAAAAAATCTATTCTCTCACCAGGCCATTCAATTGTATTTGATAACAACTAGTTGTTCAATTTACGTTCTAAATCAGGGCAATCCGTAACATAATGGGTCGGGTGTATGGGAGGGGACAATCAATGTATGATACATATGTACATGCATACATGTTGAGCACTAGCCAGCTGTTGAAGGATTACTCTATATGTCATCTGAGGTCACTCTTCCTATACCATTATCACTTGTCAGATTAAGCTGTTGTATGTTTTCACTTCACAATGTACAATATATACTGAAAACATAAAATTCCAGCATCCAGTTTAATCAAACAATTAGTGTTTGCCTGTTTTGTGAAAGGGACAAACAATATTTTTTATTAAGTGCCAGGTGAATTTTGCAGCTTTCGCTTTCCACAACTAAGTCAGTACAATAACCAGTTAAGTATTTATCTTTAACAAATCTGAGCAAAAGCTGCAAGATTTAAAAAAAAAAATGGGTATACAAAATTTGTTGTTTAAGCTTCAATGTACAATCTAATTTATCAATCCAATATTAACACATTCAAAAATTATTGTTACGTCTTAAGCCAGTTGTATGATGGATGTATTTCACGTACATGCACGTGCCTGTGGTGAAAATGACTTCTAACATAAAGTCTCAACAGCCAGGTGTCAATATATATTACTGAAACGCTGCGCTTTTTTCGTGTCTTTTTTGTCTCAAATTACCTTCAGCAAGTCTATGCAGCTGTCTAACGCGAATGAGTCAGATTGAAAACGAAAGTAGATCATGATCACCTTTTCGCTTGAGCCAGTACTGGAGTATCAGACTACTAGTATGTATATATCTCTAACAAAAATACGTATTGGGTTTGTATTTACCATGTTTGCATACTCATAAGCTTAATATTTAAAACAAAATATTTTCCTCTTTACTTGTCACTATTTTCTTTTTAGTCGGCATAAGTTGTCGGTTCTTGTTTTAAGTCACAATCTTGGTCGTTGAAACGCTTTTAGATGTACGTGTGTCATCGCAGTCACTTTAAGTAGAACGACAACATGGCCCTCGCAAGAAAACTTGGGAAGATCAACTACAAGAGCTCCGTGCTCTTCTTATGTGACATGCAGGAAAAGTTCCGCGGAAACATTCAGTATTATCCCCAGATTCTCAACGTGGCCAACAGGATGCTCCAGGGGGCTCATGCTTTGGATATGCCAGTGATAGTTACAGAACAATATCCCAAAGGTCAAAGTTCTTATAGATAGATAGCCTATATATATCAGCACGATTTTTGTTCAGTATACCTTGACGGCCATACTTTTGTAGAGAAGCTAATCAATGTGGCTTGTATCATGTTAAATAAGTCATTGTCACATGTTTTGCATACTTTTGTAAAAGAGGTCGCTGTTTATTTCAATGCCACCACTAGTTATCGAACCTGGGACCTCAGGCTTACTGGTCTGACTCCCAAGCGATTGAGTTACAGAGAAATTCTCTCTAGCTGAGTGGTATATTGCAGCTAGTATGTTACCAAGCATACACTTTGAAGAAGATTGTGAAGCTAAAAATCTGGTTCACTGACTGCCAGCACAACAAGACACAAACAAATGGAAAAAGGTTTAGGCAGGCTTTATCCCGGCTTTATGTGCACTGAACAGTAAACATGTCACACATACTGGTATACACAGAGCACATACAACTGTCAACAAACGCTATATGATCAGATCAATTTGGCTGAACTGAGCAATAAATTACACCTATGAACCATTTTCAATCGATGTCACTATACATGTGACTTTGTCACATATCGTATTGGCATTAACACGGAATAACCAGATATTCTTTTTCAGTTAATTATAAATACTATGGGGCGCAAAGTTTTCCCGTAAATATCTGAATGTGAAATATCACTTGCCAAATTCACAGCAAAGTGTTATGAAAAATCTCTGGACATTTAATATGTCCAATGAAAACTGGACAAACCACGAACACCTGACCAAGTGACCAATGAATTGAAAGGGAATCCAAATTGTATATTTGTAATTAAACCAAATACATCAAAGTATTGTGAGTATTCAAAATTCATCTTACAGAATACTTGTATAGGTTGCTTCAAATCACTGTAAGTATTCAGTGGTAATTAAACCAAATACTTCCAAGTATTGGAGTATTTAGATGTTATTGAGCCAAACACTTCAAAATATTGTGCATGGTTTGACAATACACAACACCAGCTTTAGATGTCGATATAAAGACACCATACTCAAAATTCAATAATTGAGATGTGACGATAAATATACAATGATCTAATGGGCTTGCTTATCAAAAAATATTTCTAGACCTTTTTTCTACAATAGTAATAATTCTAACCATCACAGTGTACAATAATTTTTACATCTTTGTATATGTATTATGTGAAAACCATTAAAATTGAAGAAAATAAACCAAATGACAGTTTATGTGAATATAATATATATGGAAGTTTGATCCAAGAACTGTGGAAGAAAACAGATAAATAGTTACTGTCACAACATTACTGCATTAATGTGTTTTCTCTGTGAGTCTGAGAAAGGAGGACACACCTTCTTTAGGGCTACTGTACACAAAGACAATAATTGGACCAATTAAAGTTGCAAGTGAAATGGTGACAGATGCCAATCAAAAAGTGTTACTAGGAAATACCCTGTGGAGGTTGGAAGACCCCCAGGCTAATATAGAAATAAAAATTACACATTTCTATGAATAAAAATTTTCGAATTACATGCTCACACTTCAAATAAAATTAATGCTTTCAGTACAAATATTGTACATGTACCATGTATGTAAACAAATATGTTCAATTTATACTCATATACTATATATGAATTTTATATAAACTTTATTTATTTTACAACAATTGCGAAACAAGTTCTTGCAACTTAATATACTATTCACTCTTGTTGTCTTGATTGCAAGCGCGGGAGAGGTCTTATTGTGGGAGGGAAACCACAGTGCCTTTTTACATGTGTTCTGGGAATCATACCCTGTGTGGCTAGGTGCTTTGCCACTTTGTCCCCCAGCACTATAAATACAGGTTACTCAACAAAAAGAATAAAAGTTCTGCATCTATATAGCAGGATATTAATTACTTTTTATAGAAAATTTAGAATTGTAATAAGATTTGGCATAGTAATATTTGGTAATAAATTGATAAGACTACACAGCTGAAACAGAGTATAGTGTATCGTATATATCAGATGTTTCTGACAATTAAACATACAATTTCAATGAATTTGACCTTATATACATAGATGATTTGAAGTTCTGTAATCTCTGTATTTTGTGTTACAGGTCTCGGCCCTACAGTGTCAGAACTCGATGTAAGTCAGCTGAAGGTTTACCCTAAGACACAGTTTTCCATGTTGATACCTGATGTGGTAGATCGGCTATCATCTATGAAAGGTATTTATTCTCACCTACATGTATTTTGACATCCTGTCTGTAAACTGCCCTGACGTAGATAGTATGGAGATGTTACATGGAATATATTGCTCTAGTGTTGTTATAGTGTCGTCTTCAAGATTGATAATTTCTGACTTAAGAATTGTGATAGATGCAGAAGATGAGAGTCCTAGTTGTCTTGGCTAGTGCAAATTTTCCTTTGGTTGAGCAGTAGAGTGTCAGGCTAGATACTAAAGGGTCACTGGTTCGAACCCCAACGATTGGCAGTGTGTTTCTCATTACTGCTTCCTATTACATAGATAAATAAATGCTTTTGAAATCACTCTAAATTATATCTATGCCATTCTTGACCATGATGTTATATGTCATTTATCTTGATATCTGTCAGTGTAGTTTTACATTGTTATATTCAATGACTCTGTTTTCTTTTTGTGCGCTGTGCCAAGGTGATGCCATTGATGCTACATCAGGTCAGAGAAATCACTATCAATGTGTACAGATGTAAATAGACAAGCACATGACAAACTTTCACCCACAAGTCAAATGAAGTTTAGACTTCACAACATATTCTTAATACTAAAGCATGTGCTTTACCAAATATGGAGATGAAAACCTCTACAGGATGTGGTTACACTTCAGACCTTTGAGTACAGGTTGAGATATATACATGGTATATGCAGATGTATGTCATATTTTTACTCTGCACCATTACTATGCAATATGTATAATCAGATCAAGACAATTTTTCTCCCAGTATGCATGTTTCCGAGGCGGGCAGACCTCTTTTTACAGATAAGTGATACATCTCTATTGGGCTGAGTGCATTGCATAAGCTTAGATTTGTACCATTGAAGATGTAAAGGTGAACACTGATACTCCAAAAGTCTGGTACTGTGACAGTAGAAGATATCTTTAAGAAGGCAAAAGTTTCTATTTCTTAATATGGCACAACATAATTCAGAAAGCTTAAAATAGGGAGAGGCGATATTAGTTATGCTCAAGATGGCAGTTCTAGTTGTATCTGAAACATCACTGGTGGAGGGCACACATTTCTTTAATAAATAGCCCCGAGGCAAGATAAGGTAATAATTTGCTTGAAACTCTTTAAATATCAGTAAATTTCAGCAGAAGCTGGGTTGAAACATCAAAGAGGTTCACCATTTCTTGTTTAATAAAGGAGGTTGCTTCAATCACTTGGGATAAAGAGGCGGGACCCCAAAGGGGAATTATCTGATTTCAACCAAATTGGTCTAAAACATCGCTGAAGTAGGGCAATTCTTAATATTATAATTAAATGATATTTGACCCCTAGAGACAAGTTTATGGAATTCGGATACCAGATAGGGGAAATTTAATTCAACTCCTCTATTTTGCTTGCAGTCTGTAACTATAGTTTGTGTGAAATATCACTTGAGCATTATTTTGTATAAATGAGGTTGTTTTGACCCTTGTGGTCGGAGAGAGGTTGGGCACATGAGGTATCATGTTACATGAAAATGCTACATAGTCTTCTTCTGAGGGTTTACATACAATTTAAAGCATTACTTTGGCAAGATGGCCAGAGGCTCAATAAGGGAAATATATTACATTCTGCTTTAAATTCTGTTCTTCCTGTCGAAAGATTGCATGGATTCTGAACAAATATTTGGCCTAAACTTCAAAATCAGAACAAACTTTTTTTTTTTTTTTTTTAACAAAACTGAAATTTACAGACATGTAATCCCCTGGGGCTAGACAGGCAGAGCCAGATAAGGGTAAATTGGGCCAAATAAGGGTAAATTGGCAACAATTTAATCTCTAATCAAGTCACTAACTTACACATGAGCTCTATGTTACGATTACTGATCGACCAATGATCACAACTGCAGTTTAGGAAAACAGATTTTGGTAAAGGTGACGTGAATATCAAAGAGATAATCCTTGTCCTATTGTAAGTGTTTGTAGGTAGAGGACTGTGCAGGCCTGTGGACCTCTTTTTGTTTGCTGCAGAAATGACTGAAGGTAGCAGTACTATCTTGTATCTATTTTTTATTTATTTTCGTTTTGTGTTTTTTTGCTTTGTTTTTTTCAATGTAGAGGTGAAGTCGGTGGTGCTGTGTGGTATTGAGACACAAGTATGTATACAGAATACAGTTCTAGACCTCCTGGAGAAAAACTATGATGTCCATGTGATTGCAGACGCTTGTTCATCTCGATCTATGGTGGACAGGTAAAGCCAAATTTACTTGTTTGTTCTGTTCAGAAAACTGCAATGAAAACGGTTCTGTGGCACTGGTCTACAATTCACATTTAAGATCTGAACTACGGCCTCAAATGATTCCAATTTTCTTTATCAATGTTTATCATAAATTGTTGTTTATCATCCGTGAACAATCATGTATACATGTTTTTGACATTAAAAAACCCAGAATGTCTGCATAATGATATCTAACAAGTTTTTTTATGTCGATGTGGGATTAATTATCAAAAGCGGGTTAAACAAAGTGTGATCTTGTGCCATTCTCATTTGCTGTATGTGTTGAAATGTGTAAACAAATGTCAACAAATATTTCTTTAACATACAAAGTCCTACTGTCATAATGTTTATTGTATAAAAGAAAACGCTAGGGACAGAGTGTCAAATACAAAACGTATTGAAGAATAGTTTCCTCTAAATGCGGGACGCAAGTTTAATATTAAACACCTTGACCAACCTTCAAGGTCACAAGGTCAAATTGCTATTTATACAAGGTGATTATTCTGATACAAAGGATTCATTTTGCAAAACCCACAGATGTAAACACTGTGTAAAGGTAGATTAACACTGTACAGATTATCACTCTTACTGATCAGTCTTATTGACCTGAATGGGAGAGGCTTTTTACATATACATTTACAATTCAAGTATCATGGGGAAGCATTTATGATCGAGACTAGTTACTGCATACATGTACCTTTCCACTTTCTATCAGTGAAATGAAACAGGGGTGTCAAGGTTAGTGTGTTGCCAATGTGCCACAGTTAGACCATCAGAACAGCATAGCTGTCATTGATCAAGTTTCTGTAGCTTATATACCATTGTTAAGTACCAGGGGGATTCATTTTAAAAAGACTGAAATTCAAGGGTACATTTATGGCCTGGAAGTAACCTTATAATTTTGGTGTTACAGGATGTTTGCATTCCAGAGGATGAAGGAGGCTGGAGCTTTCCTCACTACAAGTGAATGCATGTTACTTTCTCTGTGTAATGATGCGGCACATCCAAAGTTCAAACCAATTCAGAAATTGATCTGGGAGATGGCACCAGACAGTGGCCTCCTTAATACATCAATCAAAGGCGAGACTGCTGTGTAGGGACTTTCAATCCGAGGCAAAAGGCATATGTCTATTTTTGTAATTTTTTAATTGTTATCCAAAATTGTTGATAATTACATCTATTAATTAGGTTAAATTAGGCACCTTAATTAATTATAGCAGTGTTTATACAAGGATTGATGTGAAAATTGTGTATAAGATTATTATGTCCGACTTTACGCAGCAGTTAACAGTATTACAATTTGGTTAATAGGACAAGGAGGTTGATGAAATATGAATAGCTTTATCATTGAATCATTTTCTCATTTTGCCAACCAAAATTATTATACAATAATGCTGATATTTCATTTTTGAGAAGTGTTTTGATTTAAATCATTTATATAATGAGGAAGTTGGATAAGAATGATGTTTCTGATGGTTTGCTCCCAGATGTAGTAGGTATATTAGTGTGTACTGATGGTGTGTACAGCACACACAGGTACAGTATGTGATTACAATCCCTTCAAGCTGTACAACAAACATGCAATGATCATGTCTACTTTTAGGAGTAATCCAAACACTTAAATGAATTAACAAATTATATTATTAAAATTACAAGACATATAAAGGGATTTTTTAAATACTGTATTGTTTTTTTATATACTTTATCAAAAATGTATTAGAATATAGATATTTTTTATTTGTGTATTTGATTACTTTTTGTATAATATAATGTTGAGGTGAATCAGTTATGGTCCCATCACTATTATAGTTTATGTAGGTGAAGACTTCGTAGAACAATAGACATGCTGTATAGCACTGTGGTGTAGCACTGCTAAGTGTGGTGTAGCACTGCTAGGTGTGGTGTAGCACTGCACTGCTAAGTGTGGTGTAGCATTGCTAGGTGTGGTGTAGCACTGCTAAATGTGGTGTAATGTAGCACTCCTAAGTGTGGTGTAACACTGCTAAGTGTGGTGTAGCACTGCTGAGTGTGGTGTATCACTGCTAAGTGTGGTGTAGCACTACAAGGTGTGGTGTAGCACTGCTACATGTAAGTGTGGTGTAACACTGCTAAGTGTGATGTAGCACTGTTGAGTGTGGTGTAGCACTGCTGAGTGTGGTGTAGCACTGCTACATGTAAGTGTGGTGTAACACTGCTAAGTGTGGTGTAGCACTGTTGAGTGTGGTGTTACACTGCTAAGTGTGGTGTAACACTGCTTAGTGTGGTGTAGCACTGCTAAGTGTGGTGTAGCACTGTTGAGTGTGGTGTAGCACTGCTGAGTGTGGTGTAACACTGCTAAGTGTGGTGTAACACTGCTTAGTGTGGTGTAGCACTGCTAAGTGTGGTGTAGCACTGTTGAGTGTGGTGTAGCACTGCTGAGTGTGGTGTAACACTGCTAAGTGCTAACAGAAATCAAAGGTATAATTTAGAACCTAGTAAGCCAGCCTGGAAGTCCCCAAAGCCTTAATGTCCTCACTGTACATATAGTATCTCTATTTAGCACAAAAATAATATAATTTGTATCAGTAAGGAATCAGTCAATTATATTCTATGTAGTCTAAGCTGTCATAGTGGTATGTTGTCAGTTCCTATGTCTGTTTTCTTGATGATAAAAGAATAAAGATAATTTTGCCATGAGTCTTTGTGTAGTGATATTATGACACTAAGACTAGCGATACAGTTTATTTGCAGATGACGGGTGGTGTCTGGAATTCATATACAATAATTTTTACACTGTCAGATATCAGTTTGTATCAGGGAAAATAAAACTTACATGAATGTGAGTAAATCATTATTCCTGTCATACCACTAGACTGCATTGCCTGCCCGAGTTTTTCTGTTTTCTGGCACTTTTTACTTCAAAGATACAATGCCAGGTCAGGGCTACAATCTTGTCATTTTTGATTGGACGACATTTATATCTACCGTGGGAGGATTCCCGTCCAAGATGGCATTTTTGGGGGATTTTCATAGAAAAATTCAAATGCCTGTATTCAACCATCACTGCAACGTAGTCTAATATGTATTCATACCGTTCTATACAACATTACTGGTGTGTTCACGGGAACATTTCCACCTACCGCTTGGCTTGTACATTTACTATTCAAGGCGAGTGTGATTTTACCAAGCGGATACTCTCATATCTGTAAGTTATTTTCAATATTACAGCACAGATGAAAACTTGGGGCAGTTATTTTAAAGGATATTACACAAAGAAGTAACTTATTTTTTTTCAGTTTTCAAATGTTTTTGCAATACGTTTTCCATGGGGATTATTACTAACACTTCATCTGACACCAGTTGCTATTGTAAACAAGTGTGAATTCAGAGGATCAAATCCAATCAATGATACATGTAGTTGGTCGACTGAATTGACCAATCAGTTTTGGCCTGTTCATAACAAACAACCAAAATTTCAAAATTGCATATCCTCCCCACCGTGCCGTTCGTCGGTGAGACGATACCCGGACACGGGAGGAGTCATGGAGACGGAACCTGTCAACCAACCAACAGTCGACAGAACACTGACGTTCGTCGGTGAGCCGACACTCGGCAACGGAGAAGTCATGGAGACGGAACATGTCAACCAACCAACAGTCGCCAGAACACTGACATTTGTCGGTGAGACGATACCCAGACATGGGCGGAGTCATGGAGACGGAACCTGTCAACCAACCAACAGTCGACAGGACACTGACGTTCGTCGGTGAGCCGATACTCGGCAACGGAGGAGTCATGGAGACGGAACCTGTCAACAACAGTCGCCAGAGGAGTCTCGATACTCGGCAACGGAGGAGTCATGGAGACGGAACCTGTCAACCAACCAGAACATTGTACTACATTTTGTAAGACTGGTAATCCAGTGTGTAGCATATACTTACAACGGTACCCGTAACACAATATGCAAGTGCGAGGAGCTGTAACTCTGGTTGAAATTTTCTTGTGGACACGAAAACATATACATGAATAGATTTTGATGACAATTGATATGCAGCCTCACATCATTGATAATATCATGGACAATGGTCTCGTAATGAAGGCTCCACATTGCCTTGCAGGTGCCCTTTAGTAATCAGCTTGACTGTTAGTCTGTTTGTCTGTCCATTTTTTTGCTTTCTGTATAACGTGCGTATTTGTTGTCAGATTCTAACCGGATTAGTATGTGGCTTTATATCTACTAAACCACGCATGGGTTCAATAACCACTGAAATCCGTCAATATTTGAAAGAGTTAGGAGGCTTTGAATGATGATGAAAACGTGCCACTCTCTTACTTTTCGTGTGATCACTTGCGTAGTTCTCTAAATATGGTATTTGGTTTCCGATACCGCTTGGGTTCGCAATCCAGTGAAATGTGTGAAAATTTGCAAGAGTTATGGGACTTTGATCTCAAAAATATACCAATTTGCAGATGGATTTTCGCCAAATTTGATATGTGGGTTTATATACACAAGACATCGCATGGATTCAATCGGAGGCGTATATACCATGATATAAATATACGTCTCTGATTCAATATAGATACATCTCATTATGTTTAAATGATATATTGATGATAACCAGAATCAAAATTATGTATCTGAAATACATAAGGTAATACAGAATGTGAAACATCATGTATCACCAAGAGAAATGGATCCTGGTGAATAAACGAAGTGATTAGCCAATAAACTATTAGTTAATAAAATAATCTGTCTAGGTGTTGAAAGAAATCTGAAAATTATAGATATGGGTGAGATGACAATCAAGACAAGGTGACTGTAATGGAGGGGGCTTCCGTTTATAGCTAGAAGCCACAGGAGAACTAACACACCTGTACGACAAGCTTACACCTACACTGTATAGCTAGAGAACCTGTGAGGCTGTCATTTTACCTATCAGAGGCGTAGCAATAATGTATGCTTGTATGCTTAAACATACACTCGAATTCCATTGAGATATATTTGCCCTACTTTTTAAACCTTACTGCGCCCCTAGACCCCCTTAACCGGGGCTTCGCCCTTGGATCCTCTCTTCAAAGCATACACTCTTAAAAATGTTTTGCTACGCCACTGCCTATGAAACTGATTATATGATGAACAGAATCTTGAACTAGAGTCAGTGCTATCCTGAAAAATAGTCATGGTATCACCAAATGCTCTGCATATGAGCTACGTTCCTGATAACTAGTTATCTAAATTAATAGCTTCGGATATAGGAAAAGTACAAATTATTTTTTGCAAAAGACTTCTAGTTTTAAACAAAAGAACATGTAATAGTTTAGTATATTGTGAATTAGGACAGCTACCCCCTTTTAACCTGTAGGAAGCTAAGAATACTGAAATAAAGGTTAAAATTAAAGCTACAAATAATTGTTTTAAAAGCATGTGTTGATGAAAGGCAGAATCTAATGATAGCTGGATATTGATTATCCAATCAGAGCTGAACAAATTAAGATTTAATGTTTTATGGAATACAGATCGTAGTGAAAAAATAGTGTTCGGCTTGATTAAAAGATAAAAAAAATTTACAATATCTATAGTCAAGAGATGTTATCTCATATTAGTACAAATCACGTGTTCTTTGATTGTGCTTTAAGATAATAAACTTGCTAGTATATGCATCATATTATGATAAAGATTCAATGAAGAATTAAGCAGCCTCTTTATAAGCATGGTCATGATATCCGGTGTTTGTCACTTGTTATCGTAGAATTAAGAGACGTGAATCAATTGTTACCGTCAGTGAGACGATACCCGGACATGGGAGGAGTCACGGAGACGGAAAACCTGTCCACCAACCAACAGTCGACAGAATACTGACGTTCGTCGGTGAGACGATACCCGGCAACGAGAGGAGTCACGGAGACGGAAAACCTGTCAACCGACCAATTTATTTTAGTACAAACAGAGACGTGCATTATACGTACAATATACTTATACAGTGTGACATACTTGTCTTTCACTGAATAGTTGCTTTAACAAAAGGAAGCGGCAGTAGCGACAGACTGTATTCTACGTCCCTGATATCGAGGGGAGGTATTTTTTAGTATTTTGTATGCTTTATACAACGCAGAAAGCATAACATAACTTAATAATTATACAAACCAGACTAAGAATGTTGCAGAAGAGAACTGTCAGTTCAAACACGGACTTTGAATAAAATTTTATTTAGTAATATTTTTCATCAAATTGGCCCCTTTTCATTTCCTCATTATAATTCCTGTGAACTTTGCTGTAAAATCGGAAATTCGAAGAACGTAATATACACTATTCCACAAGTCCAGGTTACCACTTACCCACCTGCTCACATCTCTTCGATGTCATACCTTGACACATGTACAAATGTATATATCGGGTGTGTTGTCGTAACAGCACGTGACACGTGAATAAAGGTATATATCGGATGTGTTGTCGTGACAGCACGTGACACATGTATATAGGTATATATCAGGTGTGTTGACGGGACAGCACGTGACACGTGAATAAAGGTATATATCGGGTGTGTTGTCGTGACAGCACGTGACACCGGTGTGTTGGTCGATTTTGATACTGCTTTTAACCATTCTGAATTTGGATCATATATGATGATGTATTGATTCATAGTTTTGTCTGGGGCACACTCTTAAAGTCATAATATATAGGTGTATGGGTAAAAAAACCCAACTTGTATGTCACTTTGGATGCCTGCATACATAAAATACATGTACATGTACAATTGGCACAACTTGATTGAAACAAGGACTTATACAGTCATCGATTTCGGAAAAAAAACCCAAATAAATTTGGAAATGAACTGTAATAATATGTAATATACACGTATTGAAACAAGATCACAGATAATATTTTTTTATCATGAGCTCATGAACTCTAGCTTGTCTATCTCCACTAAGTTTGCTCTCTATTCAACTGCACAGCGATGCTACATAGGGACGTCTAATACACTACACGTAATGTGACACTGTACAGGTACAAGTTCCGTCCGTGTCTAACATCATACTTCTGTTACTTTCGTGCAACTGCACAGCGAGGCTACACGGATGTCCGTATTATACACGTAACGTGACACTGTACATCTACAAGTTCCGTCCGTGTCTAACATCATACTTCTGTTACTTTAGCAGAAGTCGTAACACGTTAAAGCACACGACTAATAGATAAATTAAGGTACACTGTTCGGAACTTCTCCAGACTTTACTTTAAAAAACTCCGCTTCGTAACCCTTCCACGTTTTCCTTTAAAAGTCTGAACATGATGGCCTTCTGCAGAATAGCAACTTCATGGAAACACTCCATGTGTACGTCTGCCTCTGAAGCTATCCTGAGAGTGCAGACGATCTGTTCTCATCGAATACCGTATGCATGTTCCTATCGCCGTCGGAACATACACCAGTCCAGTGCACAGGAATGCCACCCGACATACGAGCAAGTGTTCGCAAGTGCAATAGATTCGCCACAGGACTTTTGGGCAAAAGCTGCAGAAGATTTAGTTTGGCATAAGAAGTGGGACAATGTTCTTGACAACTCGAGGGAACCTTTTACGAAATGGTGTGGCTATTTGAATTATGAATTAAGTTCAAATTATGTAGCTATTGTACTGCAAGGAAGTAAATGAAGTGTCATTACCAGTTAATTACCGTAATTTACATATAAAGAGCCCAATGATTTCAATGGGTTTTTTTTTTACAAAACTAATTTCGACTCACACAGGACAACAAATGATAGGGGTAGAGATCGAACTAGGTGATTGATTTAAACACAAACATCAAATATTTCATAATTTAGTGTAGACAGAAATATATAGCACAGAAATATATTACATATCTCTGGTGCAAAACTCTTGAAAACTGAAGAGGCATGGTATACATTTATTTCAAACAGAGGTACCAGACTCGTCTGGCAATATGTTTCATAATTTATGTGAAAAAAGATTTCATACAGCAATTATTTCTTGAAATAATGTTATTAAAAAAATGATAAAAAAATTAATCAACAGATAAACAGTTTTAGTATAAAAATTGTTTAACTTGTTTCAATTTTTGATTTGTAAATAAATATTTGTCTGACATATTGGGTAATAATACCGGGGACAGGGGCAGGAGAGGGGGCGGGGGAGGGTTGGTATGTATTACTTCACTTTCAGATGTCAAATTAACACATTGATAGTTTGATTTTAATTACATTCTACCAATATGTAGAATCTATTACTAAAATTGTCTGTCTCTGTGGCTTTGCTGTAACCTGGGGGCACAGACTTCAGTACCTTTCACTTCCTATGTAGTTTAAATTGTACCTGTCAAAGATACAGGGAGTATATAGCTAACTCCAACATACATATAATGTATCATAAGGCATACTTCGCACCTCTCACAATGGAAAATTGTGGTCAGATACTCCCTTGCTGTCACAGCTCACTGCATTCCTAATCCCCTTGCCTGGTTATTTGTTAATCAATAGCCATGGACAGAGTTGTGTGCATTGAATTGTGGTAAAAAAAAACCTGTAAAAAAAAAGGGGGAGATAATAAGAAACTAACAAATCAATGTAACAGTTGAAACGTCGTCACGCATTGGCGTCGTCGTTGTCGTCGTCCGTTTGAAAGTTTTCCGGACTTTTGTCGGTAATGCTTTGAGTTATCAAAATGAAATTTGGCATATGGCTTTTTGTTGTAAGGGTACATATTAAGTTCGATTTCCGACTGTCTGTTACCCTTTTTGGCAGAGTTATGCCCCTTTGAACTTAAAAAATTTCTCAGGAATATTGCTTTGCGCAGTTTTCCCTTTATGCTTCAAGTTATAGGAATGAAATTTGGTATTACAACTTTATGGTTGATTGTTGCACATCCAGTACAATTTCTGGATGACTGTGACACTTTATGCATGCGACGCATACAGTTCCGAGGAACTCTTGTTTTCCCCTTGTATCAAATAACATGCAATATTCTATACCAGAAACATACTATCTACTGCCCACTGACCTTCGGCAAGTCATAAATAGACTCATGTTTGGCAAAATGTATAAGTCATATTTTGTGAGATTTTCTATTTTTCACCTGTAAATACGATTCCATTTTCTTTCAAATGCATTTTCAGATGTGTTTTTTTAGCTTTTTGTCTCACTTCCATGAGGAGCCATGTTATATTTCTGCTTACAATAATTGTAGTGGCAGGGTCAGCATCAGTGTCGTTGTTGACATTTTGATTTTTTAGTAAGATGATGGTGGGCTATTCATATCACTCTACATCAATTGTCCATCCATCTGTTTAAACATTTTCGTAACTGCTATGTTTGAGAATTACTTGATGGATCTTTCTCAAATTTCATAAGTAGGTTTCCATTGGTCCCTAGTTGTACCTGTGTGATTTGGGGACTGGTCAGAAAATGAAAATGGCTGACAGGCAATCATCTTGGATTTGTCAATCATAGCTTATTATCATTATTTCTGCAAAGAAATGTTTAAATTTCTTATCATTAAGAGAAAAAGCAGACAAGAGAGCTGAAAAGAAGGAAAAAATCCAACTTTCAAAGAGCAAATAAAGATAAAAACAGTCTTGGATGCCAAGATCCTTATGGAATCTCTCGTAGAGTTTTTAATCCAAACTTGTGTAACCAAACTTGGTACAGAGCTAGGTCACATTGTTCTTGCATATGTTTGAAAAAGGGAGATAATCTGGAATTCCTCTGTTACTCTGAATTTTAACATTTATACAGGTTTGTTGGTGGAGAGATGAACACCTGCTACAATGCTTTGGATCGTCATGTTGAAAATGGTGATGGCAATCACGTGGCAATAATACATGACAGTCCTGTAACCAACACACTTAAGAAGTATACCTATGCTGAACTTCTGAATGAGGTATTTGCAAGATATTCAATTGTCAGACATTTTTTGATACTTCAGGGATTACAAGCAATTTCATGAACCAATCAAATTATTTCACTTGTGCCTCAAATTTTGCTGTGAAATGTTCCAGGGGGGCAGGGAGCGAAAATGATCGCAACCTCTTGGTTATCGAGGATGGACCATTTTAATGCCATATTGTACTCGGTTCACTTGTTGTTTAGAGCAATTTTAGTTCACCTAGCCTACTAGGGAGAATAGAGCAATTTTAAAAAAAAAAAATCCTTCTGTAGTCTGACAGTAGCGCTGTGGGGCTCAGTATGGAAAATTAAAAAAATCTTTATTTTTCTATACAAGTTTGGTCGGAAGTAATTTTGAGCTCACCTGGTCCAAAGAATCAATGTGCTTGTGCCATGGCATGGAGAAGGAGTGGTAGATTGAATAAGACAGATACCCAACAGTATTCAATAGAGTCCCATCACGGAAGGTACATACAATTGATATACATAGCGTAGCTAAACAAGATATACAGGAACTCTACAACTACATCTGGGAAACCGACCCATTGAATGATACCTTCTACCATGATGAATTACTGAGTTTATGAGTGAATGAATCAAGAGATGAACACATTCATGATGTTAGAATTGTCCCACCCCTCGAGACATAGCTTCTTGGTTATTAGGTCACCTGAGACAAAGTTTCGTGGTCACCTTTGTCCAGTGTTGTGCGTCCATAAACAATTTAACATTTCCAACTGCTTCTCAAAACCCCTGAACTGATTTCAAGGAAATTTGGCTTCACTGGCCTAAGATGAACGAAAATAGTGAATTATAAGGGTCTGAGGAGCAGGGCGAAAAGGGTAACATTAAATCAAATTCTTCTCAACACCCAGATATTGTAGAATCAAATGCTTTTCATGAATGGAAGCATCCTAAGGTATCTTACCAAAGTTGTGAATTTTTCATAACCTTAGGGACTCACATTTCCCCTTGGGGAAGGAGTAAAGTTTACTATAGTTTATATAGGAAAACTAGATTTTTGAGCATACTTTGTTAAATTTCCATTGGAAATATTTCAAAGCAAAGAATAACAGCTTGATGGTGTGCCCATATTGATCCTGACTGACCCCAAGGGGCTGATTGACGGGGCCAAAAGGGGTTCAATTGAATTCTTATTTGGTATTGTAGAACCAATTGCTCTTCATGGATGGAAGCGTCTTATGGTGCTTTAACAAAACGGCCCACACATTTTTTTTTATTGGGGAGAGGTTAACTTTGCTATAATTTTTATAAAAAAATTGCATTTTTGAGCATAATATTAATTTCTCATTGGAAATAACTTTGTAACAATTCTTAGTATATGATGACAGTTTTGATTGTATGCATTATTGAGACTTGCTTACTATCATCAATTTCACAGTTTCTTTTACACAACACTTGAAAGCTTACTACCTTTATATTCAATGTTGCTTATCTCCTGTGACTTTGTAGCAGATTAGATCCCTACCCCAAGGGCATCTAGAAATAAACACAATATTGATGTCTGGCCCCACCCCATGGGTCATAGCCTTTGGGTTATTTTCTGAAACAGTTGAGATCCCCACCCCTAAACCATAGACAGCAATGCTGGGCATCATGAGACAAACACATTCATGTTGTAAGAACTGGCCCTTGTATGGCATACCTCAAGGGACTTAATTTCTGGGTCATATTTTTGAAAACAGTTGAGATCCTAACCCGATTACCATATAAACTCTTATTGGGCATCAAAAAATTAAGATAGTCATGGTATAAGAATTTACACATTTGGTCTTGCCCTACCAAAGAGGTGAAGTGACTGAGCTTTAATATGGAAATATTTAAAATACCCCTCCTATAGGCATGTATACCATTGCTAGATCCAGGTGAGTAATACAGGCCTATGGGCCTCTTTTTATGAATGATGAATCTGACCTCTGCTTGACCACAAGGCTGGGACCCAACAGAGAAATCATTTCAGGTATTATTTGTCATATTTGAAATTCTTTGTTAAATGACTGAAGCGCTATATTGGCAAGGTGAGCAATGCAGGCCCCTTGAGCCTCTTGTTTTGAAAATGTTGTATGAGGTTTTGATACTTGTTAATTGAATATTTTGGAACCAATTTCTTCAGTAGTTACATGTGCATGGAATATCAAAAATAATTCCAAACATTTCAGGTAAGCAAGTTTGCCAGCGTGCTTCAGTCCCATGGGGTGAAGAAAGGTGACTGCGTTCTTATTTACCTGCCCATGATTCCCCAGGCGTTAGTGTCCATGTTAGCAACAATTCGTATTGGTGCCATACACTCTCTGGTATTTGGAGGATTTGCTGCAAACGAGCTCGGAGTTCGTATCAAGCATGCCGAGCCTAAAGTGGTAATCAGCGCTAATTGTGGTGTGGAGCCGAATCGTATCGTTGACTATAAACCTATGCTGGATAATGCATTGGCTAACATTGACTTCAAGCCGGACAAGTGTATCATCTACAACAGGCCAGGGGTAAGTCTTTTAGTAAACAAAGGGATCAATAAATGAAAAAGAAAATAAACAGGTCAGGGGTTATTAGTATACACTTGGCCATAATTTATAGACAATTTCAGTATTAAAAAAATTAACCATTTTTCCTGTTAAATAGTCTTGTTGCACTCCTTGGTGCATCCCCTTGTGTGTTTGTTGGTGTTTGACATCAAGCGATACACAAGAAAATTTAAGATAACTCTGATTAAACTGGGGTAACCCATACTAAAACATTGTTTGCTTTGTCATCTAAAGTAGTGTTTGTATGTATATATCTGGTAGTCAAATATGTGCTCATTCTGTCTTTAGTAATGGTACGACAAAAATTAACAAATGCAGAAAGGTGGTATGTTTCAGGAAGGATTCAAGGTCGTATGACCCACAGGCAATTAGCTGCACATTTTAATATCAGCCACTCTGTTATTTCTCAGTTAATGAAGTGTGTGTACCAAACTGGGCATGTCAACAGCATTCTACTAGGTCTTGTAGACCTCGAAAGACTACAGATACTTGATAGAGAAGATAGATTTCTGTGTAGACCATCAAGATGAGCCCAATTCACCATTGTCAACAAGCTCATAGGACAGATATGTGAACAATAGGTGACTTCAAATTTTTTTTAGGCTTTTTAGGCCAAACCTAAGGCAGTTATGTCTTCAGCCTTTTGTAACAGCCTTTGGAACTAACTATCTGTTCCTACCAATCCTAGCTTTCTGATTGATGGAAATATTCCAACAATTTATCATTGACCCTTGGTGGCAGTCGTATTCTTTAAACAATGTCGCCATTTTTCAACCTTTCAACACAGTGTCATGCTTGCACCTGGCCTTGTTTTCCTTGCACTTTTCAGGAGTCTCTTTGTGACTTGTTGTTAACTTTGTTTATATTTTGCCCCAGTTTTATTGAATTTTGAGTTTGGATTATGTTGATATGTTGTTATCATGTTGTTTTATGCAAACTCTTGCTATGAGACAATCAGGTATTAATACTAAAATCTTACCAAAATTGACAAACTGGCCGTTCATGAAAATATTCAGACTAAGATTTGGGTCAATCATGAACTAGCGTTGGTCTGGTTTACAGAAGACTCTCTAGGGTGGAATAGAATTACAGGGTCATCGACATTGTTCTTTGCAGTTTGTCTAAAAATCACCAAGAAGTAATCAGCAACAGTAGGAGTCAAAAAGAATCGTCAGTAGATACATTTTGAAATAACCAATAGAGTCAGCAGCATCAAAGATATGATCACAATACACCTTTTTACAAAGTTTCATGTTGATATTTGTAAAATTGATTGAGTAGTGAAGAGATGAATTTTCCTTAACCGCAGGCAACAATCTACATCATGTATCTCTGTTAAAGGTAGCATCCTTAATTCTATAAAATGCTAGATAAAGTAAGTAAAATCAAAAGGTAAGTACTTGATATGATTAGGATACATTGATGTATGAAGTTTCGGTGTGGTATGGTGTTGGTGTGAATGAAAGTGGACTATAATTGTTAAACTTGGTGTACCTGACAATGGCTTGGAGTACTCGATTGTTGTATCGTGTGCAGCACACAAGTAGGATTGGGTCTGTTTCTGATTGGTGATTTGAATTGTATGTAACCAATCATTGTAGACTATGTAAATGTCATGCTTTTACCTGTGTGTCATATACTCTTGTGTGGACCTTGTTAACTTATAAACTACATTTGTATGTGCATGTGCTCTTGCACCATATTAGATATGTACCTTCACTTCCTACTTTGTGTATGGTTACATTATATCTGCTAAAATCTGATGTTTTTATATCATAGCACTAAATCTGTACCTATCTATATATAATGTATTTCTGTCAGTATGTTTCACTCTTATGTTTATATGTATGTTCACTTCATGTTATTAAAGGGTTCAAGCCACAATTTTTTCATAATTTCATATATATCAGCCTAAAATGTTAAGATAATATATGTATGTAGTTTGTGGTATTCTGTCTCTACCAGTGGTACAAAGTTGACTGATTAAGGCGGCCCCACCCCATTTATGTTAATCTGGAACATATGCATAGTTTGAACGTGAAACAAGGTCAAGTGACGCATAACGTCAAGATGTTACTTTGGCAATAGTGATACTCTATTTACCTATCACAACACTACCTACAAAGGTCATGCCTATATCCATTTACAAGCATTAAAAATCATTTTTAAAATGAAACTTACCTTCATATATAGTGTACTGTTTACATAATGATGAATGACAGTGAAAAACAAAGCGTTTTATTTCTTTTTTGAATTATTTTGAAAGTATGCAACAACTGGACACAGCTATATGCAATTACATTGTAAGTGAACGATCTTGTCTAAGATGATTGAGTCTATATCAGAAATAATTGTTACTGTTAATTGTTACCATTTACTAGATTTTTCATGATGTGAAATTTGGTGATAGCAAATATATAAAAGTTCCATGATTAATATTGACATAATCACGTAAATTGAGGCCAAAACCCTTTAATATCTCTCTGTAACAGGTTGTTGAATTGTTTACTACATATTTTGCATTGTTTGTATTACCAGATGTCCACTGCCCGTTTACTGCACAATAGCTTGGTAAACCTTGGCTATGTGTCTTCATTCTAATGGTTACATTTATAACAGCTAAGGTGGTTTTTGCTCCTGATCAAGGGCTTTTGGCATTCATCGACTGAAGGGATTATCAAATTATGATAATGTATGCGATTATAATTTGTAACTTTGTTTTACATTTTATGTATATGATATAACTTAGGGATATTTGTTTAAATAAGCTTAATAAAGGTCAGAAACTGATAATTTGTTATTTTGATAAAGTTGCCACCATCCCCGCTGGTGCCTGGAAGAGATGTTTGTTATGATGAAGAGATGGCTGGAGCCTCCCCTATAGATTGTGTTCCTGTGCCTGCAACAGACCCAAGTTATATTCTATACACCTCCGGGACCACAGGGCTACCTAAGGTCAGTTAAATATCCTGTACACTTCATGGACTACAGGGCTACCAAAGGTGAGTTATATATCCTGTACATTTCACTGACCACAGGGCTACCTAAGGTCAGTTAAATATCCTGTACACTTCATTAACCACAGGGCTACCTAAGGTCAGTTATATATCCTGTACACTTCACGGACCACAGGGCTACCTAAGGTCAGTTAAATATCGTGTACACTTCACAGACCACAGGGCTACCTAAGGTCCGTTAAATATCCTGTACACTTCACGGACCACTGGGCTACCTAAGGTCAGTAATATCCGTTTAATTTTGAAACTGATCAGAAAAACAAAATGGCTGACAGGCAGTCATCTTGGATCTTGGCTTTTGACTGGAAGTTTGTTATTTCAATTTGTAGAGAAGTACTGGATGGATCCCTCTCAAATTTCAGATTCCCTTTTATCCTTCAGGTGGGTTAAATGACCTAAATATAGAACACTGCTCAAAAATCTTCACTGTTGTAACTCTGTACAACACATAAGCTGATTCTCATTTGCCTTCGTCATCTTCGATACTCCAGGGGTTACAATCACTTTCTCTCTCTGTATCCCCGATACTCCAGGGGTAACAATCACATTCATTCTCTGTATCCTCGATACTCCAGGGGTTACAATCACATTCATTCTCTGTATCCCCAATACTTCAGGGATTACAATCACTTTCTATCTCTGTACCCTCGATACTCCAGGGGTTACGATCACTTTCTCTCTCTGTATCCTCCATACTCCAGGGATTACGATCACTTTCTCTCTCTGTATCCTCGTTACACCAGGGATTACAATCATTTTCTCTCTCTGTATCCTCGATACTCCAGGGGTTACAATCACATTCATTCTCTGAATCCTTGATACTCCAGGGGTTACAATCACATTCATTCTCTGTATCCTCGATACTCCAGGGGTTACAATCACATTCATTCTCTGTATCCCCGATACTTCAGGGATTACAATCACTTTCTATCTCTGTACCCTCGATACTCCAGGGGTTACAATCACTTTCTCTCTCTGTATCCTCGATACTCCAGGGGCTACGATCACTTTCTCTCTCTGTATCCTTGATACTCCAGGGGTTACAATCACTTTCTCTCTCTGTCTCGTCGATACTCCAGGGGTTACAATCACTTTTTCTCTCTGTATCCTCGATACTCCAGAGGTTACAATCACTTTCTCTCACTGTATCCTCGATACTCCAGGGATTACAATCACATTCATTCTCTGCATCCCTGCAATATGTCATTTCAAAATTGAAAGCACAAACAAAATAATTTAACATTTCAATGGTTTGAAGATTACAAGCGAACAACGCTCAACTTCAAAGCCGTTACAATATACCAATATACGACATCTATATTTGTTTGATGTACAACAAAGGATCATCTAGTCTTTTTTGTCTTGTCCACAAGGTGTTACACATGGAATCTCCAATTTTACTATGACATGTTCCAAGGGTGTAGAGAGTAAAAGTGATTGTAACCCCTGGAGTATCGAGGATACAGAGAGAGAAAGTGATTGTAACCCCTGGAGTATTGAGGATGTTTGCTGTGAGAGCAGTTGCAACTGACTGTAGATAGTCATAATAAGCCAGATTTTCTGTAAGGGCACATGTTTCACTAAATAAACATGAATTTACATTATAACCTGGATATTTCAAAACTGCACCCACAATTCACTCTTATTTTTAATGCAGATTCCATTCAAGTGTCATGTATAGTTCAGTTGTGTCGGCACAATTTTCCAAATAGTATTAATGCTGCTTCCAAATTTTGGAACTCTTCAGTGTTTTTAATGTCCTCCATAACAACAGTAACTAATAAACTAGTCACAAAAAGGTCATCAGTGCTATTCACTTCAGCATTACAGAACTACAGCTGTTTTTTTCTTTATTTCTCTGGTGTTATATCATTTGTAGAATTATAATTTTCTCCAGAAACATAGCATATCACTAGAATAGATCCACACAAATCATGACAGCCATGTTGTTTAAGATGTCAAATCACCTCAAGCAGTAATAGCTGAAGTAGCAAATATGCCATTCTGGTATACTAGACTGTTCATGCTATCACTAAATTTGCCATTCTGGTATACTAGACTGTTCATGCTATCACTAAATTTGCCATTCTGGTATACTAGACTGTTCATGCTATCACTAAATTTGCCATTCTGGTATACTAGACTGTTCATGCTATCACTAAATTTGCCATTCTGGTATACTAGACTGTTCATGCTATCACTAAATTTGCCATTCTGGTATACTAGACTGTTCATGCTATCACTAAATTTGTCATTCTGGTATACTAGACTGTTCACGCTATCACTAAATTTGTCATTCTGGTATACTAGACTGTTCACGCTATCACTAAATTTGTCATTCTGGTATACTAGACTGTTCACGCTATCACTAAATTTGCCATTCTGGTATACTAGACTGTTCATGCTATCACTAAATTTGCCATTCTGGTATACTAGACTGTTCATGCTATCACTAAATTTGCCATTCTGGTATACTAGACTGTTCATGCTATCACTAAATTTGCCATTCTGGTATACCAGACTGTTCATGCTATCACTAAATTTGTCATTCTGGTATACTAGACTGTTCATGCTATCACTAAATTTGCCATTCTGGTATACTAGACTGTTCATGCTATCACTAAATTTGCATATGGCATCATATGGTAACTATCAACACCTCACAAATATATGAAAGATTGGACAATATGCAAAAATACTGAGATGTCTGTCTGTGCAGACTTCACACACCCATTGTAAGCAATATGACATCATTGGATTGTTGATATGAGATGTCTGTCTGTGCAGACTTCACACACCCATTGTAAGCAATATGACATCATTGGATTGTTGATATGAGATGTCTGTCTGTGCAGACTTCACACACCCATTGTAAGCAATATGACATCATTGGATTGTTGATATGAGATGTCTGTCTGTGCAGACTTCACACACCCTTTGTAAGCAATATGACATCATTGGATTGTTGATATGAGATGTCTGTCTGTGCAGACTTCACACACCCATTGTAAGCAATATGACATCATTGGATTGTTGATATGAGATGTCTGTCTGTGCAGACTTCACACACCCATTGTAAGCAATATGACATCATTGGATTGTTGATATGAGATGTCTGTCTGTGCAGACTTCACACACCCATTGTAAGCAATATGACATCATTGGATTGTTGAGCAACAATGTATCTTTTTATGAATACATTAATGAGCAGACCTAGGAGCAGTATGAACTGCCATGCTAAGTAACCCCTAGTTGTGTGCTTTTAATTTTGGGACTGATTGGGAAAACAAAATTAATGTTCATGTGACCAAATTGGATTTTGAAAATGGAACTTTTTTCATATCTAGTACTTGCTAAATCTCTATCAGATATCTTACGTAGATTCCTCTTTGTCCCTAGTTGTGCCCATTAGATTTTGTGACTGATAGAAAAAACCAAAATGACCAAGAAACAGTCATCTTGTATTTGGCAGTTGTAATTATCATCACTATTTCTGAAAGGAATTAAATTTGGAATTTTGTTGTTGACACATTATGGTCTGGTAGTATCTGTTAACTTTTATTGATGTCTGCAGATCGCCTCCCATGGTTTTCAACCAATCATTTTCTGATATTTGATGGCTGAATCACCATGACATGAAAGTGTGATTTTCTGAATGACAGTTTGATTTATTTGGTATTTGTAGAGTTATTGCCCCTTGTTGTTTACATAATCTTAATTTTTTGTCTGGAGATCTACTGCCAGTTTTTAACTGATCTTTTTTCCAACCTGATTGGCGTAATCACCATGACATTTTAATTTAATAAATTTTTTTTTAAATGTTATTATCTGTTTTTTTCTTTTTCAGCATTTTGATTACTTTTTTAAAATTCTTTCCGATGCAAAAAATTCTAAATATTTCTTTGGCATGGGACAGGTATATATTGTTCTACCTGTTGGTGTTTCCAGCATGTTTTTGTTATTACTATACAGGCAGTGGTGCGACCAAGTGCGGGGCATGCTGTTGTATTGAAATGGTCGATGTGGAACATCTATGGTTTGAAACCTAAGGAGGTTAGTAAAAATATTCAGATGGGTTGTTCATAAAATCAAAATTAAGTTCCATGCTTGGAGATATTTTAGATTTTTGCATAACATTGTATATTACCAGTTTTGAAAAAGTTAATATTAAAACATATATACCACAGCAAGATGTTGTCAAAATAAAAATGTTGTATTCCAGATCTAAGATTGTCATTGATAAGGTAATTACGGACTATGGACTGTGTATTGTTGTATATATTGTGTTTTACAGGTGTGGTGGGCTGCATCAGACTTAGGCTGGATTGTTGGTCACTCCTACATCGCCTATGCTCCACTACTGAACTGTAACACTACAGTTCTCTTTGAAGTAAGAAATACAATCTTGAGAATTTTGAGACTGAACTGAAATATCACTGTTTTTATCTATCATCCAGCTTCAAATTTTCCCTTGAGGCAAATTCTTCTAAATTTCCCAAGAGTCCCTTGGTACTGATATTGGACCTGTAGCATGTAGAGATGGAGTGTTACCACCCTCATTTGAATGACCTTTACACACTTTCAAGATCACAGGTGTCAGATGTGTTAAAATATTCAGTGGCTTTGTATCAATAACTTACTTAAAGGCCCAGGTTTGCTGATATTGGGCCTGTAACATGTGTAGACAGTGAGCTACACAATTTGCACATATGAATTATCTTGCTCAATTTTTAAGGTCATTGTGATCATATTCGGTGAAATATTCAAACATCTTCTCAATAAACATAAGGCCCAGGTGCTGATATTTGGTCTATAGTATGCTAGAATGAATGGCTTAAAGTTTGTGCAAATGAATGACCTTGATCAAATTTCAAGGTCTCATGGTCTGATAAATAAATATCATTAAATAAACTCTTCTCAGTTGGCTGAATGTGTTGATATTTGTGTTGTAACATACTGGAATGAGGGGCTTCCAGGTTTTGTTAAAAGGGTTCAATTTGACCTACTTTCAAGGTTTCAGTGATCAAATCTATTAAGAACTTAAAATTTCCTCTTATCAAGAAGTGCCACTCAAGCCCATTGTGCCTCTTTTATTTTCAGAATAGTTAAACCTTGATTTGATATTGTTAAACAGGGGAAACCAGTTGGTACTCCAGATCCAGGTACTTTCTTCCGAGTCCTAAAGGAACATGATGTCAGTGCCATGTTTGTTGCTCCCACAGCACTCCGAGCTATCAGAAGGGAGGTAAGTCTCTTGGCAATCTTACAGGAGGTAAAACACATAGACCACCCAGAGAGAGTCAAAACTTAAGTCTTCTGGCCATCAGAGGGGAGGTAAGTCTTGGGGAAAGAAAAGGAGTAGTAAGTCTCCAGCCATTGAAATAAAAGGTAAGTTTAAGGGCCAATATGTTGGAGTAAGTGTTGGACAACAACAGGGGTAACAGGTCTCATGCCACAATAGTGAAGGTAAGTCTCGGGGCCAAAACAGGGGAGGTAAGTCTTGGGATCAAACCGGTGTGGTAAGTCTGGGGACCACAAAAGACAAGGCAAGTCTCAGAACCACAACAGGAGAGGCAAGGCAAGTCTCAAAGCCACATCAGGGGAGGTATGTCTCGTTCTGGGCTCACAACAGGGGATAGGTCTCAAGCCTTAAAACTATAATATGGATGAGAAGTTTCACAGCTGCAACAGGAGAGTGAAATGTTTTGTCTACAACAAGGAAGGAAAGTTTCAAAGTCACATTAGTGAAAGTTGGTCTCACAACAATAACAGGAGAGGTAAATCTCCGGACCAGGACAAGGAGATAATCTCATAGCCAGAACTGGAGAGGTAAGTCATAAAACTTCAAAAGGGGAAGTTGTTCTTGGAGGCCAAAGCAGGGGAAGTTAGTCTAAAAGCCACAATGATGGAGGTAAGTTCAGGAAAAGAACAGGGGAGGTTACTCTCATAGCCAGAACAGTGGAGGTTGGTCTCCAAGAAAAGATAGGGGAGGTTGGTCTTGGATGCCAAAGCAGGGGAGGTGAGTCACAGGTAAAGAACAGGGGAGTTATTCTCATAGCCAGAACAGTGGAGGTTAGTCTCAAAGCCACAATAGGGGAGGTTAGTCTCAAAACCACAATAGGGGAGGTTAGTCTCATAGCCACAATAGGGGAGGTTAGTCTCAAAACCACAATAGGGGAGGTTAGTCTTATAGCCACAATAGGGGAGGTTAGTCTCATAGCCAAAATAGGGGAGGTTAGTCTCAAAACCACAATAGGGGAGGTTAGTCTCAAAACCACAATAGGGGAGGTTGGTCTTGGATGCCAAAGCAGGGGAGGTGAGTCACAGGGAAAGAACAGTGAAGGTTAGTCTGAAAGCCAGAACAGGGGAGGTTAGTCTCAAAACCACAATAGGGGAGGTTAGTCTCAAAGCCATAATAGGGGAGGTTAGTCTCAAAACCACAATAGGGTAGGTTAGTCTCAAAGCCACAATAGGGGAGGTTAGTCTCAAAACCACAATAGGGGAGGTTAGTCTGAAAGCAAGTGTGTAGTCCATCAGTGAGGAGGTAAGCCACATGGGAGTCCAGTCTTTGAGTCATTGTGAAGAGATATAATATGAGGGGAAAAGTGATTTATTTGATTGTTACAAACATCTCTTAAGCCTTTCTTTTTAAACTTTTTTTCTATAAATCAATATGTGTAAGATTTGTTCATGAATTAATTGTATCTTATCAATTCCAGGATCCAAAAGTTGAATATGGACGAAAATATTTCCCATTATCAAAGTAAGTGAGAGAAATATTGAAACTTTCCAAATAGGAAATATTGTTGTCACATAAAGAGAGTGCTAATACCTTTTACAGATGTTTATACACACATATTATAAATTGGGATTGTTAATTAAGTACTCACCAAAGTGCAGTTCCAATGAAGTAGCGTTACTATTAAATTCTCAACTGCTATAAGTTTACCAAAACCAGCCATTATAAAATTCTGTGGTGCCTGAACTTTTCGGTTAAAATTCAACTCTTCCATAACACCTTAGCATATTTCAGTTATTAAATTAGGTCTGAAACATCATCATATTGTTTTTACTTTATATTAATGATATTGTTGATTGTGTTTCTAATTAAACTGTTTGCTGATGACACTTCCCTGTGTGCTGTAAAAGATGATGATTCAGTTGAACTAGCACAAAATTTAACACATGATCTCAGCAATATTCAATTCTGGGCTAATAGATGGGACATAAAATTTAATCCAAACAAAACTGAATCTGTGATTTCTGTAAAAAATTGAATACCCATCACCCAAATGTATATTTTTCTAATGAACCAAATACTGTCAGTCAAATACATAAACATCTCGGCCTGACATTCAGTGATGATGCTAAGTGGAAAGACCATATTTTATAAAAGAATTAATGTGTTAAGAATGAGGAAGTATAAATCAGACAGACAGTCATTAACTACAATATATATATCATATATTAGGCCAATACTTGAATACGCTGATGTTGTCTGGGATAATTGTTCGCAAAATTTAAAAGATCTCTTAGAATCAGTACAGTTAGAGACGGCAAGTATAATACCAGGACTGCGTAGAGGCACCTCCCACAATGTCTTGTATAAAGAATTAGGTTGGGTTTCTTCTGATAGTAGGAGAAAGCAGCGTAAAATGATGCCGATGTATAAAATTATGAATGATCAATCTCCATACTACTTCAAAGAAATTATTGAATCTTATCTTCATGACCCCACATTAGATAGGTATCCCTTTAGATCTATTAGATTATTTGATCCTTCTCTCTGTCGAACTGTCAACTATTATAGTAGCTTCTTCCCATCCATGTTTAATGAAATTAATAATATAGCTCGGGATCTTCAAAATATTCGTTCTACTTATCAGTTTAAAAAATTTATAACACCTGTCCAAAACCTTAACACAAGAACAACTGAAATTATTAAGTTCTTTGGAAATCGAGAAACCAATGTCATTCTCTGTCAGTTGAGAAATGAGGCCAGCAACCTAAATTGTGACCTTCTGAAAGATCATCTAGCTGAGTCCTCGGCTTGCTCTCGTGGATTTAGATTTGAAACGGCATCTCACTACTTTCTTGATTGTTTAAACTTTAATCAACATCGTGTTATACTTTTTCATAATATATCACATGAAGTTCATAACCATCTGACTATTGATGTCATTCTAAATGGTTGTGAGAGATGCAATGAAAATGAAAATAAACATATTCTTCTATCTGTCTCAGATTATATCTTAAGAACTAGAAGACTTAGTATGTGTAACCAAGATCTCTAACCCATTATACTTTCATTCATTCATTCATTGTTATCTGATTTCCAAATAAGGTACCTTGCACATTAATATTTGTTCTTTAGGGAGGGTTTAGTGTTCACAAGACCAGTTATATTGTCTACTCAAAATATTGGGGAACAACTTAATGAATAGAATTAGAAATTGAAAGAAGTTTTATTGAACAACACAGATCTCTAACCTGCAAATAGACATAAATTACACTAATTAGTGGGATTGAATTTCCAAATTCATCAGTGGATGGCCTTGTGTGATACAATGGACTTTTCCGGCCTGTATCTGTTGGGTGAGGTAATTTAATAACATTAAATGTTTATTCATTAATCTCCAATAGTTTTCTTCTCTTCTTCAATTAAATGTAATACTTTTATTTAAAGAAGTATACTGAAAGGTTAGAAAATGAAATCAAATGGAATTATATAAGAAATAGATTTAAGTAGTTGTCTCCCCTACTTCAGCATTCTGATTTGTTTATGTTTGTATATGTTCAAATGTCTAATTTTGTATGCCTATGTTTGTACCGCTGTTTGTTACCATGTTTGGAGAGGGCTTAAATAGGCTATGCCTGCTGCCCAATCCATTTGTCTATTTGACAATAAAATTTGTTGAAATTGAAACATCATTAGAGGTGGGCAATCATTTCATAATAGAGAAATTTTATTCAACCCCTGAGGACACTCTAAATTTTTGCTACAAAATCATATTCTTTCAAATATGGTCTGAATCATACGTTTGAGACATCATTCTGAAAGCTAATACATACCCTGAAGACTTGGGATAATGGGGCCCAAAAAGGGAAATTAAGCTAAAACTTTCCATTTATGATTTTGTAAATGTCCAAATGGATTGCAACCAAATTTTATTTGAAATTTCAATAATTTCTGAAATGAATTATTTAATTGCCAGATGAATATTACTACCCAAGGGCCTCTTGTTCATGTGAAGGGATGGGTCAGTGAATTACGCGTTCATAGACGGTATCAATTTTGACACTTCATTGACATCATGTGTAAAACAAAATTCAACAGCATCTTTATTATCTCAGTGATATTCAGTGGTCTTGTGATTCTGTCGTTATAGCACACAAGGTGAAAGTCTATTAGAGTTGATGGTTTTTTTTAAACACATGACTCTCTCACTGAAGTCAAATATGCAAATGATCTGTATTAGAGATTAACAAAGATTGGTAGACATCTTGGAGGATAAGGAAAGACATTGAAAATGAAACAATGTAACAGTGACTTTGAAATGACTGAGAACTGAACATGGGGGAAGAGACACCAGGAGGAGCAGGTTGATATTCTATATTTTCTTTGAAAGTATTTATGGTCACGTATACACAAGTCTTAGAATTTTCATTTGAAGATCTTGATATACACTTTCTTAAATTGTAAATGTAAATGTAAGATGCACAGATACACTGACAAAGTGATTTTTTCTAAATAACCAAAAGGCCCAGGGTACTGTCCTATTGGGCATTTAAGCATGCTTGAATGTGCTATGGCTAAATAGGTTGTTCAAATAAATGACCTTGACTGCCTTTCAATGTCACAAGATCAGATGTCCTCCTGTTGACTGTCCTTAAATAATTCTTGTAATCACTTTTTATTGAGAAGTCCTGAATGGATCTTTTTAGGGTTCCCTTGGTACCTCAATGTGCCCATTTGATTTTGGTACTTGACAGATAAATGAATGATAAGTGGCAATCATTGATATTGACATTGAAAGTTTGTTATTGCTATTTCTTGAGAAATACTTCGTTTTTCTCAAGTTTCATATGATGTTTCCCCTTAGTCTTTACATGTGCATTTTATAAATGTGGGATGAAAAGCAGCTGAGAGACAACCATTTGGATTTGATAGTTATTATAATTGCTATTTCTTAAGACGTTAAATGTCATACTTGGAAAGCAAGAGCAGAATAAAGGAGAGACAAGAATAGAAGAGATCCTACTTTAGAAGAACAAGTGAAGGTCAAATAATGGTGGATGTTAATTGCTCTGTGAGATATTTTGCAAAGTTACAGTTGTTAAAATTTATCAATTACCAAAAAGCTTGGGGTAATGGGGACCGCAGCATGCAGGGCTGTAAGGTTGTCAGGTCAATGATCCAATTCAAAGCCACCAGGTTAAAATGTTTAAAGTCTTCTAAATGATATCTTTTCAATAACCTTTAGGTCCAGGGTACCGATATAATTTTGTTTCAATAATGAAAAGGCTACAGGTCATTATATCTGTATAATAAAAATCCTGGGAATTGGGCTTTCAGATTTACAGAAATGTAACTTTGAAACTTAAAAGTCTTCTGAAGGTGCAAAACAAGTGAGCATTTCAGCCCCACTGGGCCTCTTGTTTTAAGGATTTTACTTCACTTAACTACTTTTTGAGAATGGGTACAATTGATCAGGATTAACTAATATTCTCACAAATGTTACTTTGTTACAAGTGATTTTTTTGATAAGATTCCAGAACATGTTTGTGGCTGGTGAACACTGCGATAGAGAAACTATGGACTGGACTAAGACAGCTTTTGGTGTTCCTGTTTTGGATAACTGGTGGCAGACAGGTCAGCACAGTCCAAACCACACAGACAGGCAAAAATCTTGGATTTGGCACTTAGGGATTATCATATCATTAAAACAAGAACAGAGGAAAGAATATAAGAAAATAGAAAAGTTGGAAAGTGATCCAAGTTCCTAAAGAGAAAATAAAAAGCAATGAAATTTCTTTTGTGGAAATGTAATTCAAAGGGACTAACAAATATTGTTATACAGTAGTTCTATTTGTACAGAGACTGGCTGGGCCATCACTGCAACCAACGTCGGGCTAGGAAATAGGACAAACCCTCCACAAGGTGTCACTGGAAAGCCAGTCCCAGGCTGGAACGGTAGGTACACTTCCGGGAAAATTCTTGGAAAATCAGTTCTTCATTTGAATGATAGGAGCCCTCCTCTGAGAATGAAAGGAAAGCGAGCCCTGTCTGTAATGGTAAGTAGTCTCATCAGGTAGTCACAGTGAAGTCAGTCCCCCTGTCTGTACAGGTAAGTAGTCTCATCAGGTAGTCACAGTGAAGTCAGTTCCCCTGTCTGTAATGGTAAGTAGTCTCATCAGGTAGTCACAGTGAAGTCAGTCCCTGTCTGTACAGGTAAGTAGTCTCATCAGGTAGTCACAGTGAAGTCAGTCCCTGTCTGTAATGGTAAGTAGTCTCATCAGGTAGTCACAGTGAAGTCAGTCCCTGTCTGTAATGGTAAGTAGTCTCATCAGGTAGTCACAGTGAAGTCAGTCTCCTTGTCTGTACAAGTAAGTAGTCTCATCACGTAGTCACAGTGAAGTCAGTCCCCCTGTCTGTACAGGTAAGTAGTCTCACCAGGTAGTCACAGTGAAGTCAGTCCCCCTGTCTGTACAGGTAAGTAGTCTCATCAGGTAGTCACAGTGAAGTCAGTCCCCCTGTCTGTAATGGTAAGTAGTCTCATCAGGTAGTCACAGTGAAGTCAGTCCCCCTGTCTGTACAGGTAAGTAGTCTCATCAGGTAGTCACAGTGAAGTCAGTCCCCCTGTATGTAATGGTAAGTAGTCTCATCAGGTAGTCACAGTGAAGTCAGTCCCCCTGTCTGTAATGGTAAGTAGTCTCATCAGGTAGTCACAGTGAAGTCAGTCCCCCTGTCTGTAATGGTAAGTAGTCTCATCAGGTAGTCACAGTGAAGTCAGTCCCCCTGTCTGTAATGGTAAGTAGTCTCATCAGGTAGTCACAGTGAAGTCAGTCCCCCTGTCTGTACAGGTAAGTAGTCTCATCAGGTAGTCACAGTGAAGTCAGTCTCACCAGGTAGTCACAGTGAAGTCAGTCCCCCTGTCTGTAATGGTAAGTAGTCTCATCAGGTAGTCACAGTGAAGTCAGTCCCCCTGTCTGTAGTCACAGTGGTAAGTAGTCTCATCAGGTAGTCACAGTGAAGTCAGTCCCCCTGTCTGTAATGGTAAGTAGTCTCATCAGGTAGTCACAGTGAAGTCAGTCCCCCTGTCTGTACAGGTAAGTAGTCTCACCAGGTAGTCACAGTGAAGTCAGTCCCCCTGTCTGTAATGGTAAGTAGTCTCATCAGGTAGTCATAGTGAAGTCAGTCCCCTGTCTGTAATGGTAAGTAGTCTCATCAGGTAGTCATAGTGAAGTCAGTCCCCCTGTCTGTAATGGTAAGTAGTCTCATCAGGTAGTCACAGTGAAGTCAGTCCCCCTGTCTGTAATGGTAAGTAGTCTCATCAGGTAGTCACAGTGAAGTCAGTCCCCCTGTCTGTAATGGTAAGTAGTCTCATCAGGTAGTCACAGTGAAGTCAGTCCCCCTGTCTGTAATGGTAAGTAGTCTCATCAGGTAGTCACAGTGAAGTCAGTCCCCCTGTCTGTAATGGTAAGTAGTCTCATCAGGTAGTCACAGTGAAGTCAGTCCCCCTGTCTGTAATGGTAAGTAGTCTCATCAGGTAGTCACAGTGAAGTCAGTCCCCCTGTCTGTAATGGTAAGTAGTCTCATCACGTAGTCACAGTGAAGTCAGTCCCCCTGTCTGTAATGGTAAGTAGTCTCATCAGGTAGTCACAGTGAAGTCAGTCCCCCTGTCTGTAATGGTAAGTAGTCTCATCAGGTAGTCACAGTGAAGTCAGCCCCCCTGTCTGTACAGGTAAGTAGTCTCATCAGGTAGTCACAGTGAAGTCAGTCCCTGTCTGTACAGGTAAGTAGTCTCATCAGGTAGTCACAGTGAAGTCAGCCCCCCTGTCTGTACAGGTAAGTAGTCTCCTCAGGTAGTCACAGTGAAGTCAGTTCCCCTGTCTGTAATGGTAAGTAGTCTCATCAGGTAGTCACAGTGAAGTCAGTCCCTGTCTGTACAGGTAAGTAGTCTCATCAGGTAGTCACAGTGAAGTCAGTCCCTGTCTGTACAGGTAAGTAGTCTCATCAGGTAGTCACAGTGAAGTCAGTCCCCCTGTCTGTAATGGTAAGTAGTCTCATCAGGTAGTCACAGTGAAGTCAGCCCCCCTGTCTGTACAGGTAAGTAGTCTCATCAGGTAGTCACAGTGAAGTCAGTTCCACTGTCTGTAATGGTAAGTAGTCTCATCAGGTAAGTAGTCTCATCAGGTAGTCACAGTGAAGTCAGTCCCCCTGTCTGTAATGGTAAGTAGTCTCATCAGGTAGTCACAGTGAAGTCAGTCCCCCTGTCTGTAATGGTAAGTAGTCTCATCAGGTAGTCACAGTGAAGTCAGTCCCTGTCTGTACAGGTAAGTAGTCTCATCAGGTAGTCAAGAGAGACTGATTCATTAGAGAGTGACACATTAGAGTGACACATTAGAGAGTGACACATTAGAGTGACACATTAGAGTGACACATTTGAGTGACACATTAGAGAGTGACACATTAGAGAGTGACACATTAGAGTGACACATTTGAGTGACACATTAGAGAGTGACACATTAGAGTGACACATTAGAGTGACACATTAGAGAGTGACACATTAGAGTGACACATTTGAGTGACACATTAGAGAGTGACACATTAGAGTGACACATTAGAGTGACACATTAGAGAGTTCAACAATGGAGCGTGAGACGTTGAATGAGACACTCGGGAGTACATCAGAGATGAATCAGAGATGGTTTATATATGTAACCATAGTATTAATTTTATGATCTTGTTGGTGTACAGTGAAAGTCCTTCGACCTGACAACTCCGAGACAGACCCTATGGAACTAGGACAGATTGTTGTCAAGTGAGTAAATATATATTTCAGAATTAATATATTGTTGATTTCTTGTATACCAAAATACATTCTGTCTAACTGCATGGCTCTTGTTAAGTTGTAAGGAACCTGGTATAATCCAGATTATGATGGTATAATAATTCAGGTAACAATAACATGTAAACGTTGGGTCTCCGTCCACTGGGGCAATTGTAAACGTTGGGTCTCCGTCCACTGGGGCAATTGTAAACGTTGGGTCTCCGTCCACTGGGGCAATTGTAAACGTTGGGTCTCCGTCCACTGGGGCAATTGTAAACGTTGGGTCTCCGTCCACTGGGGCAATTGTTGCAAGGTCTAAAAGAAAAATAGTATTTTGCTGGTATCTATAGTTTGATAATCTATTTCACCTCTTGATGCGGTTATGCATTTAATTACAGGTGAGTTTTATTACCTGTCCACGGTTAGCTTTCTCAGGTAAAATCTGTGACGTCAATTTATCCACGTGGGAGTGACAGTGGGAGTCTCATATAATATGGTAGTTGTACAATCGGTCATACTTCAGCAGTGATGGTATGACTGCCACTGCCACCTGGTGTGACAGACTACCACTGCCACCTGGTGTGTATTATATATGTATTGTTGTTACTTTGTGACAGACTACCACTGCCACCTGGTGTGTATTATATTTGTATTGTTGTTACTTTGTGACAGACTGCCACTGCCACCTGGTGTGACAGACTACCACTGCCACCTGGTGTGTATTATATTTGTATTGTTGTTACTTTGTGACAGACTGCCACTGCCACCTGGTGTGACAGACTACCACTGCCACCTGGTGTGACAGACTACCACTGTCACTTGGTGTGTATTATATATGTATTGTTGTTACTTTGTGACAGACTACCACTGCCACCTGGTGTGACAGACTACCACTGCCACCTGGTGTGTATTATATTTGTATTGTTGTTACTTTGTGACTGACTACCACTGCCACCTGGTGTGTATTATATTTGTATTGTTGTTACTTTGTGACAGACTACCACTGCTACCTGGTGTGACAGACTACCACTGCCACCTGGTGTTAATTATATTTGTATTGTTGTTACTTTGTGACAGACTACCACTGCTACCTGGTGTGACAGACTACCACTGCCACCTGGTGTGTATTATATTTGTATTGTTGTTACTTTGTGACAGACTACCACTGCCACCTGGTGTGACAGACTACCACTGCCACCTGGTGTGTATTATATTTGTATTGTTGTTTCTTTGTGACAGACTACCACTACCACCTGGTGTGACAGACTGCCACTGCCACCTGGTGTGACAGACTACCACTGCCACCTGGTCTGACAGACTACCACTGTCACCTGGTGTGTATTTTATATGTATTGTTGTTACTTTGTGACAGACTACCACTGCCACCTGGTGTGTATTATATTTGTATTGTTGTTACTTTGTGACAGACTGCCACTGCCACCTGGTGTGACAGACTACCACTGCCACCTGGTGTGTATTATATATGTATTGTTGTTACTTTGTGACAGACTACTACTGCCACCTGGTGTGACAGACTACCACTGCCACCTGGTGTGTATTATATATGTATTGTTGTTACTTTGTGACAGACTACCACTGCCACCTGGTGTGACAGACTACCACTGCCACCTGGTGTGTATCATATTTGTATTGTTGTTACTTTGTGACAGACTACTACTGCCACCTGGTGTGACAGACTACCACTGCCACCTGGTGTGTATTATATATGTATTGTTGTTACTTTGTGACAGACTACCACTGCCACCTGGTGTGACAGACTACCACTGCCACCTGGTGTGTATTATATATGTATTGTTGTTACTTTGTGACAGACTACCACTGCCACCTGGTGTGACAGACTACCACTGCCACCTGGTGTGTATCATATTTGTATTGTTGTTACTTTATGACAGACTACCACTGCCACCTGGAAGTTTCTCTACACTTTGGAAAAATGATGTGAAATTTGAGGAAACATACTTCAAACGTATACAAGTAGGTTTGTTGATTTTCAGATTAAATTATTAGCCTATCTGATCGGAATGACCAAGGTCAGTTTATGCTGTATCCGAGTTTAAGGCATCAATTGATTGTCAGTCGTTCTGTCAGCTGATCATGATGAGGTTGGCCAAAAGGAGAAGTTTTTTCTATATCTTTTTTTTTAAGACACTGTCTCTAGAACTTGGCACTGAATATCAATCATATTCGGGAGTTCACTAGCCTATGTGGTGATTAATCAAGATTATACGCAAAATGGGGCTGACCTTTCAGGAACCTGAGGTGTGGGGCCAAAAGTGGAAAATTTACTGTATTGCTGTATTTAACTGAAAAATTCATGTTGGTTTAGTAGCATCCTCAGTGAGGTCGGTTCTTTGTGATCAAATTGAGTTATGAGCGTTGTGTTGTTGAGAAGGAACCAATTTTTAAATAAATGGTGGGTCTTGAGGCCTGCTTCAGGCCTGATTGTGTCTAATAGGGGACTCAATTTTATGTAAATCAAGGATCTACAAAGAGACAGACCCCATAATATGGAAAATAGTTGTAAAAGTTTAATTGAAACATTCCTTTTCTGCTTGCTGCTGTTTGAACATTAAAAAATTTTAATCATTTAGGAGAAAAATTTATGATATAATTGTGAAATTTTTTTTTTTTTTGTGAAAACTGAAATATTTGTTAGCAATACAGACCCCATGGGCCTTTTTTTAAAACTGATAACAAGTTGTTGGTACCTGGATGTTGTTAATCAGGGCACAGTAAATCTTCTGTCAATTCGAACAAAATTAATAAAATATTGTTGAACCTGTTCGAATAATACAAAATCATGCTTGTGAAAATAAATCACATTGCCAAAAATCACAAAATGTAAGTGAAACAAACTAGAAAGGGCTTGAACTATCACTAGACAGAAAATTATTGTTTTTACTGAAAAGTATCATGTGTTTGAACTACCCAACTATTTAAACTGACTGGATGTTTACTGTATATGTATTGTGGTAATGCTTTGAAAAAACTTTAAACAAGAAACATATTCAACTTCCTGTTATATGTTCACAGTTGAAGCATACTTCATTCTCTGGGGTATTTAGTGTACAATTACTTAAACAGTCACAGTTTGATTCATGTATGTACAGATCTCAGCTCTGGCAGCAAATTGATGTGTGTTGATCCAATTTGATTTTGCCAGGGTTACTATAACACAATGGACTCAGGATATCGTTGTGAAGAAGGGTATATCTCTGTCCTTACACGGACAGATGATGTCATCAATGTGGCCGGACATCGTCTGTCAACTGGAGCATTAGAGGAGGTAAGCAGAGTAAACAACGCCCTTTTAGGAGAGTTTGGGACACTACAGTTGGTGGGAACTCCAATCCTATAGAATCCAAAGTAGAAATACTGGCTAATCATTTTTCAGTATAACAGTCTTTTGGGTTGCCTTTTAATGATAAAGGTATGGACCTCCCCTGTTTATATTGGATTCCCAAACTTCACAAGAATCCATATAAATAACAAAAAAAGAAAACGAAAAATAGAAAATAAGAAAATACCAACATTTCAACATAATCATAATCCAAACTCACATTCAATAAACCTAGAGGAAAATATGAACCGATGAAAGATTTACAGGAGACTCATGGAAAAGTACAAGGAGAATAAGACCAGGTGTTCCAGAAGAGTAAGCATCTTCTGCTTCATCAACGACACCCGCCATTTAAACCTTTATCAATCCAAGTAAGTGTTGTCACGTTCTCAAATGAGAATGGGGTATGCAGCAACAGAGCTAACAAGCAAACTAATTGGTATCAAACACGTTCAGCTTCGTATCACGCACAGAAAAATAAAATATTTCTTAATGGGATCACTATGACCTCTAGCTGTTTAAATGACCTTTGTCCAAACTTCTTACTGCCAATCTGAATATTATCCAATCTGTGTTACAGTCTTGACTGAGAAACTGTTTACTTGAGAAGTGGAATAGTAAGTGGATTTCAAAGACCTTCAAAGAACCTTTGACCCATCTTCAACACCCTCTTCTATAAGGACAATAGATTTTTCTACTCTCTACAACATGATAACACACTTTAAACTGATAAAACACCTTTGTTCTAGTGTTTTGAGAGTTTCTTGTCAAAGAAAGGTGAAACGGCAGTGCAAATATAATGTAGTGAACTATACTGAAGCATATTTTATGAAAAAAACTAAATTATAAAAATCATTGAGTTTCTGGTTGACAACATCTTTGTCGGATTTGGTGGTAAGATCTTCCAACAGACTACTGACATATCTATGGGAACTAACTGTGCCCCTGTGCTGGCTGACTTGTCTGTTTTCATACGAGGCTGAATTTATTGAAGGACTTATCAAAACAGTCACAGGTTGAAAAGTTGTTTAATTTCACCTTCGATATATTGATTATGTCTTGTCTTTAAATAACAAGAGATTTACTGACCACGCCCATTGTATATATCCACAAAAATTGGAAATCAAGGACACGACACGATCAGCTTCATATCTCAATATTTTCCTACAACGAAACCAACATGGATATCTTCCCACCAAGCTGTATGATATGCAATATGATTTTGATTTCCCTATTATTAATTTTACATCTCTGGATAGAAACATCCCTGCATTCCCAACTTTTGGAGTTTACATGCTGCAGGTGATTTGATGATTAAGGGGGTATGTTCCAAAATATCACAACTTTTCCTCCAAGATGTTGTCAACCAGTAGACAAACACAGGGTTTTAGCAGACTGATAAAACTTATTGGAAAGTGTTACAGTTGTCATAGCAATCTTATTGAAAAATAATCTATTTCTATGTTTGATATAAAGCTGAAAAGTTTGATGCTTTTTAATTTGCCTGTTGGTGCTATTGATATTTCAGTAGTTTTTCATTCTTTGAATGTGATGATACTTGCTTGGATTGACCAAGATTCACATTTTGGGAGTGTTTGTGTAAATGTCTATCAATGAATTTGAGTTTGAATTATTATTCCGTTCAAATGTTGTTGTTGTTTCATCAAAATAACAGAAAATGCTTCGAAATACAGGTAAGTATACACATATTAGACAAAAGTTTTACCACCAAATTTCTCCATTCTGTTAGATGATTGATAATGGTTGTGACAGATCTACAAACGTATAACCCTAGGCTATTCTGGAGAGTGATGATGTGGTGGAGGCTGCAGTCGTCGGAGTCCCAGATACACTCAAGGGCCAGATCCCTCTGGGACTATGTGTTGTGAAACATGGTGAGTTTCTAGAAATTACCGGACTCCCATTGTTGTTAAAAAATTGAAAATTTGCAAAAAAAATTATATATCTTGATTAAAGTGTCAAATATTTTGATATGCCTGTCAAAAATTTTGACATCATCAATTGATTGTCAATTTCGCTTTTCTGAAAATATCCCACAATTTTTAACCAACATTTTTCAAACTTTGTTAACTTAATTACAATGACATGAACCAGTGTTTTCCTGGGCGATCATTTCATTTTGGAATAGTTACTTCCCCACAGATTTTCACCAGTTTATATTGAAATTTCGTAGGCTTTACAATCTCACATGAAATAATTGTTTTGTTAATTGCATTGCAATTTTATCACCCACAAAATACTTTTGCGGTGCATATTAATTTTAACTGACTACATCTATTCATCAATCCATCAGTCAATCTGTTCACAAATTCAGCCCCAGTCTGACACTATAGTATTTATTGACATATTTATTAAATGAAATTTGGGTCAGAATGTTCAGTTTGAAAAGGAAGATACATACAAGGTCAAGGTCATTAGATCATAAGTCACTGCATAACTTTGTATTTCAGGGTCAATAGGTCCGAATGTCAAGGTCAAATTTTGTATCTTTTCACTGGTGAACATTTTAAGTTACAACATTATGAAGCTAAGTTAGAATTTAACAAGAACTCAGCTTACCAAAAGATCAAGGTTACTGGATTTGACCTTTAGATCAAAAGGTTGAAGACAACGGGGATAAAAAGTTTTGAAATAGTCAACAGATCAAAGGTTAATTCTTATGTATGGCAAATGTCTAACTTTATCTTCAGCTGTATTAGGGAGGGCATGTTGATGATTGTAAGGGATATAATATAACCACAGGCTGACCTGTCAATGTTGTAGTTTTGGTTGACATGCATGTCTTATATCGACAAAATTTGCAGTAGATAATATACATTAAAGCAATGTCATCCCCCTGATAATTTTAAGTAACTAGCTATGAGTTGAATTGCAGGTGTGAAGAAATCTGAAGCAGAGGTCATCCAGAATGTGGTCGACAAGGTTCGACAGTTCATAGGACCTGTTGCCAGCTTTAAGCAGGCGGTCATTGTACCCAAACTACCAAAAACTCGGGCAGGGAAGATAGCTCGAAACACACTAGCAGCCATAGCAGCAGGGAAACCATATAAGGTAGCTGAGTAGGCATTTAAATCTTTGTTTCTTTGATTCAATATTACTGCATTGTTATTTCATAAGACTTTGTTTATATGTACGTAAATGCTGCTCATTAAAACTAGACTCATTCATCTATCGGTCTAAACTGTATAAATTTCTTAATCAGTGTTATCACAATGTTTATGATACAGTAGTTTTCATGAGTGAAATGACAAGGGTTGTATTATTATTATATCTCAAGTCTTATTTTTCATTTCATTTTCATTATGATGTGGTATACAGATTTACGTACATCTGCATTTTAGGCCATCGACCTGAAGGGTCATACTACGACGATGTGCAGTGTACCAAATTCAGGGCTTGTAAACCCCTTAATTACACAGTTATTGCCCTTTATCAAAATTTTGTGTCTAGAGCACAGCTTTAAATTACTTGCATTTACACTAGAATAATGAAACTTGGTATATACATTGGTCATACGAAGAATATGTGAAACATACCAAAGTCAGGTCCTAAAACCCAATAATTACAGAACTATTGCCCTTTGTGATAAGTTTGTGCCCAATATTCATTTTTGGGGATCATTCATCATTTTCACCGATACCCTTGTTCAAAAGTGCTGCCTTGTAGCGTGGTATATGGAAACAATCCAACAATGAAGTCAACAATCTGAATTCCACCTGAGAAATTTCAATTATGAGTTTTTAAAAATAATATCCCATTTTTCATTCAAATATTACCATAACCTCACCTCATCAAAGTCCAGTCTAGTCATGTACACTACTGAGCCCTTTTTGCTTAGACAATTCTCTCTCTGGCGATGTAAATGAAGTATCAGATTTATGTCATTTAGAAGTTGTATTTTACAAAATTCAATGCCAATGGCGATGTTGCTCCATATTCCTGTCATGTGTTTTCACATTAAGTGCATGTGAACCCAAGTTAGGTGTTGAGGTCAATGCACAACACCTTATCAATGTGTACTGTACTCGGTAGGAAATAATAAATTTAAGGCTCAAGATGATGTAACTGGGGAAAACTGATAACTAACTTTAATGTAAAAATAACTGTAAAACAAACTTCTTTTCCTCATCGCACATGTTCGGGCGGTCGGGCAGATAACACCATGTTGTTTCAGGTCTGATGACAAACCTGGGTTACCTAAGTGTAATAGGGATGTGTTGACCCTGTGTCACCTGACAGTTAGATAATTTGCCTTAAACTTCCAGATTCCTGTCACTATTGAGGATGATACAGTGTACCCTGCTATACACAAAGCTCTTACAGAAGCCGGCTTCCCACTTAAAAGATAAGAGGTTGCCATTATGCATTAAACTGGTCTTCAGGTAGCTGTTTGCAGTACTGCAGAGGTTAATCTCACTGGGGAATCACCAGGAAACCATGGTAACTGAGTTAAACAGTTGTTACCAGGTTTAGAGGAAGCGATAACAAACTGGATTGAAACATTTTATCATTGAAAATGAGTTAAATGAGTATGTGGATCATTTGTTCACACTAACTACACTACAGGTCACGTGGAGGCATACAATCACCACTCTCCACTCGCCCGTAACCTTTTTCACACTAACAACACTACAGGTCATGTGGAGGCATACAATCACCACTCTCCACTCGCCCGTAACCTTTTTCACACTAACAACACTACAGGTCACATGGAGGCATACAATCACCACTCTCCACTCGCCCGTAACCTTTTTCACACTAACAACACTACAGGTCACATGGAGGCATACAATCACCACTCTCCACTCGCCCGTAACCTTTTTCATCACTAACTACACTACAGGTCACGTGGAGGCATACAATCACCACTCTCCACTCGCCCGTAACCTTTTTCATCACTAACTACACTACAGGTCACGTGGAGGCATACAATCACCACTCTCCACTCGCCCGTAACCTTTTTCATCACTAACTACACTACAGGTCATGTGGAGGCATACAATCACCACTCTCCACTCGCCCGTAACCTTTTTCATCACAAAATCACAAAAATGACAAGAGGACACATACAATCACCACTCTCCACTCTCCCGTAACCTTTTTCATCACTAACTACACACAGGTCATGTGGAGGCAGGTCAGTCATGTGGAGGCATACATCACCACTCTCCATCTCCCGTACCACTCTCCACTCATGTGGAGGCCAATCACCACTCTCCACTCTCCCGTAACCTTTTTCATCATCACTAACTACACTACAGGTCACGTGGAGGCATACAATCACCACTCTCCACTCTCCCGTAACCTTTTTCACACTCACAACACAACAGGTCATGTGGAGGCATACAATCACCACTCTCCACTCGCCCGTAACCTTTTTCACACTAACAACACTACAGGTCACGTGGAGGCATACAATCACCACTCTCCACTCGCCCGTAACCTTTTTCACACTAACAACACTACAGGTCAGGTGGAGTCATACAATCACCACTCTCCACTCTCCCGTAACCTTTTTCATCACTAACTACACTACAGGTCACGGGGAGGCATACAATCACCACTCTCCACTCGCCCGTAACCTTTTTCATCACTAACAACACTACAGGTCATGTGGAGGCATACAATCACCACTCTCCACTCTCCCGTAACCTTTTTCACACTAACAACACTACAGGTCATGTGGAGGCATACAATCACCACTCTCCACTCGCCCGTAACCTTTTTCATCACTAACTACACTACAGGTCATGTGGAGGCATACAATCACCACTCTCCACTCGCCCGCAACCTTTTTCACACTAACAACACTACAGGTCATGTGGAGGCATACAATCACCACTCTCCACTCACCCGTAACCTTTTTCATCACTAACAACACTACAGGTCACGGGGAGGCATACAATCACCACTCTCCACTCGCCCGTAACCTTTTTCATCACTAACAACACTACAGGTCATGTGGAGGCATACAATCACCACTCTCCACTCGCCCGTAACCTTTTTCATCACAACGACTCCATGTTTGCTCTTTAAAATAACATTTAAGCATTGGAGTAGTTCATGGCATTATTAGTGTACATATCAAATTTTAATCATCAAATTATTCTTATGCTTGGTTGTGTCCCCTCAGTGTATTTCAATTTTGTGAACTAACATCCAATATTCTAGAAACAGAAATAGATTATGTATATACTTTCACAAGGTTTGACATCCTTGTATAAGCAGATACTGATAACGATTTTATACGGTTTCATAACTATTACATTATGATGTGATGAGTTTGTATGTAAGTTGAAAACTTTAGAGTATGAAAAGTTTCGGTATTTAAACAAAATAACTAAATTATAACATACATAGGGTACATTCAAACAGTTATCTATTCAATTGCTCAAGGATGTTAAAATATGCATCATTGTACACATACACCTGACATTCAACTGCACAGACACAAATTAAGATACACTGAAATTACCATATCGAGGAACCGACATAATAAATCCCCCCCCTACTCCTATATTACCCCGTTCTTCTTGTGAAAGTGTGTGTGGATTTAGTTTAAATATAAGGGAACAATCTGTTTATGTAATATCATATGTTCCCGTGCTGTACATTTATTGTTTTGATTTGTCTGCATCAAAAAACATGTCCCATAAAATAGTTCTATAGTTATGGTTCATGTCGCCAAAAGGCTCACAGGATGAGGTGTCAATACTTGTAGACCTCTCGAGACGTCATTTACGGAGGATGACCATTACAAGTAAATAATTCCTCGCCTACACCCTGTCACGTTTTGAGTGGCAAGTTACCTGGAAATCGTGTTTCGATGACGTGTACTGCATGGAGGTGTAATGGAGATAAGACACTTGACAGCACTGTTAGTAATCAATATATATTGAAAATTGTTGTGTGAAATAATTAGAATTTCACAAACATCTCTTTAAATGAATCTTAAATATGAAAAACCGAAACAAAAAGTTAATAGAAAAAAGAAAAACAACAATTAAAACATACACATTTGTTAAATGTATGTAGGGTTGGGATTAGGCAGACTTGTATCCTATACTGTACTAAGGTCACTGCACGGACACATAAAAACAAAAATCAGTCATTCTGAGTTCGATCAGTGCAGATATGCTTTGCTTTCTGAGGTTGCTTAAGAACAAAAGATAACATTTTACAGTGTTTTCTCTATTCTTTTATTCATAATGCATATTTTGTTGACTGTTCTATTTCCTTTATGATAATATCGGTATTGACATCATATCCTGTGACAAGTTTTTCTCATATGTCCTTGGTACAATATGCAAATTGTAATGTTGATTGTTACTAAGAATGACAGTCTGCCAGCAGAAAAAAAATTTTAGCTCACCAGAAACGGAGGGCCAAGTGAACTATAGGGAAAGTGCAGCATCCGGCATCTGTCAACGTTTCCTTTAAATCATTTCATGCCATAAACAATTGAGATTTTAACAAAATTTGTCAAATTAATTTGTTAATCCTAAGTGAAAAGGGAACCTATTTATGAAAAACCGTGAGTCTGCCCTCCTTGGGACTGAGGGACGGGGCACAAGGGAGGAAAATTTATCTATTTCTTTCAGGAATTGTAGAAAATTGTCCAGATTTGGACTGAAGTATACTTGAGTGAATAGAAACATCAATTATGTATTAACAGTAGGTCTTAACCCCCTGGATGACAGGGGAAATAGAGCAATTCTTTTAACATTCTTTCCTGCTGTTGGAATGATTAGATTTTTGCCAAACTGAGTTTCGGTCCTTTGGAGCAGACATTGAGATGTGAGATTGGAGTGGGTCGAACCCGATAAGGGAAATAGCGCAAATTCTTTATAATCCTGCTTCTGTGAGAAATACCTGGATGTTGTTCCAAATTTGGCCAGAAGATTACCATGGTGATGGGGAATCAATTTTGTATGATTGGTGGACTACAACCCCTTGGGTGGCATCCTTCTTATGTAGGAATGCATGAATTCTGTCCAAATTTGACCTGAGACATGCCCTGGTGAAGGAGATCAATGTATAAACAGTGAGTTCCTGCTAGGGCGGGAGCTGTGGGGCCAAATAGTGAAATTATAGCCATTTCTGTAAAATCCTTCTTCTGTTGGAACTGGAGACATCCTTGGTAAAGAAAACTCCAGATTTACAAAACTTTACTTCTAACCCCCTTTGCAAGGGGTCTATTACAGGGAAATAGATACATATTTTTGAAATACTTTTTTCTTTTAGTTTAATTTTATCAATTTCAGCAAACTATCCAAGGTGAGCAATACAAGCCCTATTGGCCTCTTGTTAGAAGTGTGCATAACATAAATCCAGTCAAGGATTTAATTAATGTGATATCATCATAAACTCATCAACTTAATTACTTTTAATTACTAATTACTATTAATTATTATATTGATATTTTTATCATTGAATGTCTTTGAAATAATGTATCACTTATGATCAGGTTATGTTATTTGTAAATCTATGTCTATTGTCTATTGTCTATTGTCTATTAAATCTACTAAATCTATTATATCCAAATTTAACGTTGGTGTACCGAGGGCCTTTGTAATGTTGATGTAACTTGTGCCAAATCCTTTTGCTACATTTATACAATAAAATTTTATATAACAAGACAAATGAGAATGAAACTGTTGTATTTCCCTTTTTATGACCAATTTAAAGAGGAACGTATTTGTAAAGAGAATCCATTGTATTAAGGTTTCCCAATATTCAGGGCCTCAGCATCACAGACAAGTTTAAGAAGGACGAGACAGCTGTATGATGTAGCATCACTGACTAGTCCTAGATGGACAAAATAACTGTTTGATGAAACATCATTGACGAGTCCTAGAAGGACGAAATAACTGTATGATGTAACATCACTGACGAGCCCTAGAAGGACGAAATAACTGTTTGATGTAACATCACTGACGAGCCTTAGAAGGACAAAGCAGCTGTATGATGTAGCATCATTGACGAGTCCTAGAAGGTCGAAATAACTATGATGTAGCATCACTGACGAGTCCTAGAAGGTCGAAAGAACAAGAACTATAATGTAACATCACTGACGAGTCCTAGAAGGACGAAATAACTGTTTGATGTAACATCACTGACGAGCCCTAGAAGGACGAAATAACTATGATGTAACATCACTGACGAGTCCTAGAAGGTCGAACTAACCGTATGATGTAACATCACTGACGAGCCTGAGAAGGTCGAAAGAACAAGAACTATGATGTAACATCACTGACGAGTCCTAGAAGGTCGAAATAACTGTGATGTAGCATCACTAACGATTCCTAGAAGGATGAAATAACTGTTTGATGTAGCATCATTGATGAGTCCTAGAAGGACGAGACAGCTGTATGGTGTAGGGTTATTAACGAGTCCTAGCAGGAAGAAACAGTTGTATGATGTAACATCACTGACGAGTCCTAGAAAGACGATATAACTGTATGACGTTACATCACTGACGAGCCTTAGAAGGACGAAATAACTGTTTGATGTAACATCACTGACGAGCCTTAGGACGAAGCAGCTGTGTGATGTAGCATCACTGACTAGTCCTAGAGGGACGAAATAACTGTTTGATGAAACATCATTGACGAGTCCTAGAAGGACGAAATAACTGTTTGATGTAACATCACTGACGAGTCCTAGAAGGACGAAATAACTGTTTGATGTAACATCACAGACGAGCCTTAGAAGGACGAAGCAGCTGTATGATGTAGCATCACTGACTAGTCCTAGAAGGACGAAATAACTGTTTGATGTAACATCACTGACGAGCCTTAGAAGGACAAAGCAGCTGTATGATGTAGCATCATTGACGAGTCCTAGAAGGTCGAAATAACTATGATGTAGCATCACTGACGAGTCCTAGAAGGACGAAATAACTTTGATGTAACATCACTGACGAGCCTAAGAAGGACGAAGCAGCCGTATGATGTAGCATCATTGACGAGTCCTAGAAGATCGAAATAACTGTGATATAGCATCAATGACGAGTCCTAGAAGGACGAGACAGCTGTATGATGTAGCATCAGGGATGATTCCTAGAAGGACGAAACAGCTGTATTATGTTACATCACTGACGAGTCCTAGAAGGACGAAACAGCTGTATGACGTAGCATCATTGATGAGTCCTAGAAGGACGAGACAGCTGTATGATGTAGCATCACTGACGAGTCCTAGAAGGAAGAAACAGTTGCATGATGTAGCATCATTGATGAGCCTTAGAAGGACGAAATAACTGTATGACGTAACATCACTGACGAGCCTTAGAAGGACGAAATAACTGTTTGATGTAACATCACTGACGAGTCCTAGAAGGAAGAAGCAGCTGTGTGATGTAGCATCACTGACTAGTCCTAGAAGGACGAAATAACTGTTTGATGTTACATCACTGACGAGCCTTAGAAGGACGAAGCAGCTGTGTGATGTAGCATCACTGACGAGTCCTAGAAGGACGAAATAACTGTTTGATGTAACATCACTGACGAGTCCTAGAAGGACGAAATAACTGTATTATGTAACATCACTGACCAGTCCTAGAAGGCCGAACTAACCGTATGATGTAACATCACTGACGAGCCTGAGAAGGTCGAAAGAACAAGAACTATGATGTAACATCACTGACGAGTACTAGAAGGACGAAGCAGCTGTGTGATGTAGCATCACTGACTAGTCCTAGAGGGACGATATAACTATGACGTAACATCATTGACGAGTTCTAGAAGGACGAAATAACTGTTTGATGTAACATCACTGACGAGCCTTAGAAGGACGAAGCAGCTGTATGATGTAGCATCATTGGCGAGTCCTAGGAGGTCGAAATAACTGTGTGATGTAGCATCACTGACTAGTCCTAGAAGGAAGAAACAGCTGTATGATGTAACATCACTGACGAGTCCTAAAGGACGAAATAACTGTTTGATGTAACATCACTGACGAGCCTTAGAAGGACGAAGCAGCTGTATGATGTAGCATCATTGACGAGTCCTAGGAGGTCGAAATAACTGTGTGATGTAGCATCACTGACGAGTCCTAGAAGGACGAGACAGCTGTATGATGTAACATCACTGACGAGCCTTAGAAGGACAAAGCAGCTGTATTAGGTAACATCACTGACGAGTCCTAGAAGGACGAAACAACTGTATGATGTAGCATCATTGATGAGACCTAGAAGGACGAGACAGCTGTATGGTGTAGGGTTATTAACGAGTCCTAGAAGGAAGAAACAGTTGTATGATGTAACATCACTGACGAGTCCTAGAAGGACGATATCACTGTATGACGTAACATCACTGACGAGCCTTAGAAGGACGAAATAACTGTTTGATGTAACATCACTGACGAGCCTTAGAAGGACGAAGCAGCTGTGTGATGTAGCATCACTGACTAGTCCTAGAAGGATGATATAACTGTTTGATGAAACATCATTGACGAGTTCTAGAAGGAGGAAATAACTTTGATGTAACATCACTGACGAGTCCTAGAAGGAAGAAACAGCTGTATGATGTAACATCACTGACGAGTCCTAAAGGACGAAATAACTGTTTGATGTAACATCACTGACGAGCCTTAGAAGGACGAAGCAGCTGTCTGATGTAGGATCATTGACGAGTCCTAGGAGGTCGAAATAACTGTGTGATGTAGCATCACTGACTAGTCCTAGAAGGACGAAGCAGCTGTGTGATGTAGCATCACTGACTAGTCCTAGAGGGACGATATAACTATGACGTAGCATCATTGACGAGTTCTAGAAGAACGAAATAACTGTTTGATGTAACATCACTGACGAGCCTTAGAAGGACAAAACAGCTGTATGATGTAGCATCATTGACGAGTCCTAGAAGGAAGAAACAGCTGTATGATGTAACATCACTGACGAGTCCTAAAGGACGAAATAACTGTTTGATGTAACATCACTGACGAGCCTTAGAAGGACGAAGCTGCTGTATGATGTAGCATCATTGACGAGTCCTAGGAGGTCGAAATAACTGTGTGATGTAGCATCACTGACGAGTCCTAGAAGGACGAGACAGCTGTATGATGTAACATCACTGACGAGCCTTAGAAGGACAAAGCAGCTGTATTAGGTAACATCACTGACGAGTCCTAGAAGGACGAAACAACTGTATGATGTAGCATCATTGATGAGACCTAGAAGGACGAGACAGCTGTATGGTGTAGGGTTATTAACGAGTCCTAGAAGGAAGAAACAGTTGTATGATGTAACATCACTGAGGAGTCCTAGAAGGACGATATCACTGTATGACGTAACATCACTGACGAGCCTTAGAAGGACGAAGCAGCTGTGTGATGTAGCATCACTGACTAGTCTTAGAGGGACGATATAACTATGACGTAGCATCATTGACGAGTTCTAGAAGGACGAAATAACTTTGATGTAACATCACTGACGAGCCTTAGAAGGACAAAGCAGCTGTATGATGTAGCATCACTGACGAGTCCTAGAAGGACGAAATAACTGTATTATGTAACATCACTGACGAGTCCTAGAAGTCGAATTAACCGTATGATGTAACATCACTGATGAGTACTAGAAGGACGAAATAACTGTGATGTTACATCACTAACGAGTCCTAGAAGGACGAAATAACTGTTTGATGTAGCATCATTGATGAGTCCTAGAAGGACGAGACAGCTGTATGGTGTAGGGTTATTAACGAGTCCTAGAAGGAAGAAACAGTTGTATGATGTAACATCACTGAGGAGTCCTAGAAGGACGATATAACTGTATGACGTAACATCACTGACGAGCCTTAGAAGGACGAAATAACTGTTTGATGTAACATCACTGACGAGCCTTAGAAGGAAGAAGCAGCTGTGTGATGTAGCATCACTGACTAGTCCTAGAAGGACGAAATAACTGTGATGTAGCATTACTGACGAGCCTTAGAAGGACGAAGCAGCTGTATGATGTAGCATCATTGACGAGTCCTAGAAGGTCGAAATAATAGAAGGACGAAATAACTGTTTGATGTAACATCACTGACGAGCCTTAGAAGGATGAAGCAGCTGTATGATGTAGCATCACTGACGAGTCCTAAAGGACGAAACAATTGTATGATGTAGCATCATTGATGAGACCTAGAAGGACGAAATAACTTTGATGTAACATCACTGACGAGCCCTAGAAGGACGAGACAGCTGTATGACGTAGAATCATTGATGAGTCCTAGGAGACGAGACAGCTGTATGATGTAGCATCACTGACGAGTCCTAGAAGGAAGAAACAGTTGCATGATGTAGCATCATTGATGAGCCTTAGAAGGACGAAATAACTGCATGATGTAGCGTGACTGACGAGTCCTAGAAAGACGAAATAACTGTATGATGTAACATCACTGACGAGTTCTAGACGGACAAAACAGCTGTATGATGTAACATCACTGACAAGTCCTAGAAGGACGAAATAGCTGTATGATGTAACATCACTGACAAGTCCTAGAAGGACGAAACAGCTGTATGATGTAGCATCACTGACAAGTCCTAGAAGGACGAAACAGATGTATGATGTAGCATCACGGACGAGTTCTGGAAGGACGGGACAGCTGTATGATGTAGGGTTATTGACGAGTCCTAGAAGGACGAAACAGCTGTATGATGTA